GTGTAATTCCCTGTGCAGATACGATCTGTCCTTAAATTAGACAATAGAACCAAAATGAGGTACTAAAAAGGATGTTTCTTTCCTTCCTCTGTTCATGTGATACCTAAACTAAAACTGAAAGCTAAAAAAAAAATGGGCCTTTTTCTCCCCTTGCCCTTTCCCAGTTCTGTAGTCACAGTGCTCCTTATAACCCAGATGGACGAATACATTAAAAACTGCTTTTAAACCACAGATTAAGAAATGGTGCCAGGATTTTCTACCAAAAATGTGGCACTGCTGCTAAAATCTGTTGACAATTTTAAAACAGTTTCTTCTGGCAGAAGAGATCCATTAATGCCTCTTCTTCTTTTCCAGGAAAATGAGTAAAACCTTTTTCTAAATTTGAAGTTAATTAGCTTCCATGCTGTATTTCAGAGCTCACTGTAAATGTATTAATTTTTCCAGGAATGGGAGTTGGGACATAACAGAATCATCCATGATGTGAGAGAAACACATTGAAAATAAGGGCTGTGACTCTTCCTTACATCTGTACTTGGGTCCTGCCAAAGATGAGTGCGTAGATTTTAATTACAGCCATTCTGCTTAAGCCTTTGAAAATCAATTTAGAATGTAAATTTTGGATATTTCTTCCAAACGAGGGCAATCAGCATCACACAGACACCTGAGATGGGATTTCCTCTCACCTTGCATCCAGGCTTGCCCCATGCTGCAGGCTGGCTCTCTTGGCACGCAGGGCTGTGGAGCAGCCCCTGTCCTTGGGAGCCCTTTCTGTCGATGCAGCTTTTGCTCTGTGCAGTACATGGGTTTGGTGCTGGCAATGAAAGAAATGTGAAACCTGCCTTTTTAAACGCTCAGTTGTTTCAAATGCCCCGAGAGAAAGAAAAGAAATGCTGAACACCCCTGATAAAAATAAACGCCTTAACGTTTCCCTTCAAATAACTGCATGCGTTACGACTGGACAAAAAGTTATTATTCCTAATTTGCTGTATGCACTGGAGAGCACATATAAAACTTGCACCCACATCCACGTATATTTTATGTATCCATATGAAAGCTCCACCCTTGCAGTGGCTCTTCTCCCACGCCTCTGCCAAATTCCTGCTCCACCCGTGATGCTCCAGGAATCCCAGGGAGCCTCTGTGAGGTGCCAGCTTCCCGTGCTCACCTGTATGTAGCATTGAACTGACCTGAAATGACTGTTCAGTTTCCAAACTCGTGCCTTGTAAGGGCAGTTATCTTACCTGGATGTAAGCACACGGTGCGTTAAAGTCAGTGCTGCTGTATGTATTGCACTGTGACACAGGAGAGCAAATCAGAGCTCCAAGTACTGCAGCACGGCTTTAAATGTCTTTGAGGGAATTTTTCAGTGCTGGTGCTCTTGGTTGAGGAAGCACCTGTTGCACCGAGGGCAGGAACTTTGCTTTGTGCAGCCTGTGGAGCAGTGTGGAGGCTGGGGCTGTGTGCCCATCTCAGGCAGCAGACACAGATGAGTGTAGGTGTCCTTGTGTTTGGCATGCAGCAGTGCTCTCCTGCTGTCTGCTGGTTATGGGCTGTCGTGTGTCTGTCTTTCCTTTTTGATTTCTTGACACTTGTCTTTGACCCAATGATCTTTTCAGCTGAATGAGTGAAATGGATGGCTCTCAAACAGTACTTTTCTCCACATGAGAGATTATATAAGTGCTGGGACAGCTTCCTGGTGTTTTGTCCTGGCCACCAGTCTAAGCAGATGCATTGTCGTCTTCCTGAATTCAATTGGTAACAATAATGTTTTTCTCTGACTGTGCTTCTGGAACCAATCTGACTGCTTTCCCTTCCCTTTCTGTACTACAGCATCCCATGGAGCGCTCTGCCCTGCATGCTGCCAGCTGTCTTCTGTGTTCCTGCTTAGCTGCCAAGACTCAGAAATGCTCTTTTTCTGTCACAGTGGTGAAAGGGATGGGATTAAGCATTTTAAAGGCAGATTGCATCTGCAGCGAGTGTCTGGGAAGGCCCAGTGCAACCATGTGTGATTTTAATGTATAGGCTGAAACTCATTTGTATGATAGACCAATGGGAATTTTGGGCAGCTCTTCTACACGACACCCTGATGCTAAAAAAAACCCAAAAACTCAGATGTAAAGCTCTTTTGGAAACTTGATTCATTTGTTTCATATCCTCTGTATCTTCAATTTCAAAGCCATTTAGGAAGATCGTTTGCACAAACACGAAAGCTCCCTTTAACTAAAGGCAGCTGATGTGTTTTTTCAATGAGATAGAGCTCATAAGAAAGACTCAAACATTAACTGTGTAAAGAAGGCAATTAGTGTTTGTACAATATATTGGAAATTAGCCCTAGGCACACTGGAAAAATACATGTTTTAAACATGTCTGTTTTCTGCCCAATTCTGTAGCTTATATTAGATCTGGACTTGGATATATCTAAAGGCCACCAAATGAATTCAAAGCTGTGAAGGACATTGTTACTGTCTCTAATAAGCTTTTTTTTCTGTAATGTAGTTGTGTAATACAGTATAACTGTGTATATTTAATCACTCCAGGGAAAGTCCTTTTCTCCTGCTGTAATATGTCAGGAAAGCTTATCTGCATATAAACAGCAAAAAGAGACCTCTCCTGCATTACAGAGCTCTAAGATCTTTGGTTTGAAAGCTGAGCATTTCTAAGGATGCGCTAATTATGTCATTCTGATAAGAAGGGATGTCCTGCTCACATTGTCACCGAGTGCCATTGTCCATAGGTTTTAAAGCTGTCATAGGAATAGGGAAAAAGCCACTGTGGTCATAGGAATCAGTGAAAGACTTTCATAACCATGGGAGGTCCATTTGCAGGGAGCAGCTGCCACATTATTTGTCTTGGTTGCGCATCCATTGTGGTGGATTTGGCTGCAGTGTGGGGGGAAACCAGGTCAGGAGAAGGGCCGAGTTCCTGGGACAAGAGAGAGGAACTGATGAAGCCAAAGAGAGAGAAGCAGTTAAAAACCTGATGGCAGTTTGAGAAAACATGAATGCTTCTATCATCTGTCAAGGGAAATGCAACTTCTTCCCATATTCTTTTAGCCTTTGATCCCAGTTGGGCAAAGTGCAAACCGGGGGAAATGGTTTGAGAGTCTCTGGTGCTGTGATGGGCACAAGCATCGTTTCTGCAGTCAGTCATGTTAAACTATTCATGTTCATTACCATGGGTATATCACTAATTATCAGAGAGAAGCCTTTCTAGAAGACTGGGTGAAACTCGTGTTCATTTCTACAAGAGAATTCACTGGAGTGGAAGTGGCTGTGGGTGCAGCAGAGTGATGGCTGCCTCAACGTGTGGAAGAGAGCATATGGTTTCAGTAATGGGCTAATAAGAGCAATTAACCTCGCAGTGCACTCATTTGTAAGTCCCAGTTGTTTATAAAGTGGATAATAAAGATATTGTAACATCATATAGCTTTATAGGAGATTAGGGAAATGAGGCTGTGTTTTTCAAGCTAGTGCCTGTTAGCACTCTGGTGATAGCATAAGGAATAGAAACATAAAATCAGCAGAGGATGAAATACTTGGAGGGTTAGGCAGTGTATTTAACCAAGCAATGTAAATCACAAGTGTACAGTGCCTTGAATAAAGGTTGTCCTTAGAAGAGGGGCTGCTTTGCAGGCAGCTCTGATGTTCAGCTTGCTCTTGCCACCTCGCAAAGGTTGTCACGTAAGCTGTTCCCATGCTTCATTTGTGGCATTGATTCTGATCCTGTAAAATATCTTATGCTGTAGTCACTGATGTTATGTTTGTCCTTTTTCGGCTTGCTGTCGTTTGCCTCATGATTTAGCTTGTATTTTGGCTTGGGATTCAGCTCGTGATTACCCTAATGAGCTGTTGCCAGTTTTTCTTGAAGCTGAATTTCTGAGTCAGGAAAGCACTTGGATGGGGCACGGAGTTCTGTGGAGGCTCCCAGACTTGTGCTCTTGTTTTTTTCTGTTCCATTGGATGGGCTGAACAATGCGTTCACTGGTGCAGCATTCCCCAAATATGAAGGCTCTTTTGCTTTATTAGACTTGACAGTGTTTAAACAATGCTAATTCTCATACCCAGCTGGCTTTTCAATTGATTCTGTGCTCTCTGTCGCTGTGTAAAACAAACTGAAGCATTAAAGGCATCTTGCAAGCTTCCCTCTGGGGACTTGTCTTTCCTTAAGGAAAAATCAAGTATAAAATTTTGTGTTTTCTCTGTGTGTTTTCTGCTGGATCTTTCAGTGATATTTCAGTGCATTAACAAATGTTGTACAGAATAAGGTGCTAATTTGCAGGCACGTGCTTTGAAAATCAATATTTGTTTTCTAGCTGGATATGTGGACCAAGTGTCTCTTTCTTCACCTGAAGCAGAATACACCAGTTGTAAAATTATATTTAAGTTCTACATAGAATTGCCATTTAAAATCAACTAGAGTCTTGCCTATTAGAAATTCGATTGCTAAACAAAGAACTTTTACAGATGTGAATCATTCGTTTCCCACTTTCAGCAGCATGGATGCAGGCTGATATTTGGGGACTAAGAATGAAATCAGAATTCCTGGGGGGAGTGAGGAGCAAAGCATTTTCTGCCCTGTGAACTTCAGCACTTTGCTCACACCGTTATGCAAAGCCTTGCAGCGTACTGAGAAATGCGTTCTTTGCACTCAGCTGTGCTCAGCAGTTCGGCTGTGCTGGGCTCATGGCGCTCACAGCTCGGAGGGGAGGAGGGCCTTCATTTCTGACCTGAGGAATCAGTGCTTTCTGATGGAAATACTTCACATTCTTGGCCATGGTCTCTTCCTATGAGCTTTTCACTTCTTGCACAAAAGCCATCTAGCCTTGTTTTGCCACTTGTAGGAAAACACATGCTAATATCCCACCAACACAACGTTATGCATCGACACAACGTCAAGCATGCAAAGTTACTTAGAATCCCTATAGGAAATAGTGTGTGAACAGTAAATATTCTGATCACGCGATATTTTAAGCTTTTTATTTCTTTTTTAATGTATTGCAGCTGGTCTGAAAACCCAAAGGAGTGGAAGTTTCAAAAGACGAGGCAGACCTGGCTGCTCTCACACATGTATGAGAAGGAGAAGGTTTGTATTATCAGGAGATGTTCTCACAATGGTAATGTTGTAAAGTTTGATATGTTAATTGTAGCTATTATTTATTAATGCAAGGTTACTAGCATTAGCTGTGCACTTTGCTAAAATACTCAGCCATTGTGATTGCTTGCTATTCACCTTTCTGTTTTGGGGTGGTTGTTCTGTGGACACTACTAGACTAAAGCACGTCAGCCAGAAGGAGGAATGACGCTTTGTATAAACCTGAAACTTAATGAGGGTAGATTTGAACATATCCTTAACTTCTGGCTGTGGAGTAGTGGGCAGTATTGGTGACAGGTGGATGGTTGGTCTGGGTGGTTTTAGAGGCTTTTTCCAACCTTGGTGATACTGTGACTGAGCCATAGCTCGTGGATTGCTTCAGATATCTCTGCTTCATATAAGATGTACGGATACACTGCCAAGATGCTAGAATAGCTTTCTCATTAGAAGTGAAACCTCATGTTGATTATAGAAAGCGTAACCAGAAGCCAGCCTTTCATCGTCACCCAAATCCATTCATTTCATAACTTAAAAAACAACATCCACATAGCTTCCAGTCAGCATCTGAGCATTGCAGTGCGGAGCAGAGCACTGCAGCTGATGTTCCCATTGTGTAACTGAGCACACATCTCTGTTTGCACAGCAGCTCCTTATTGATTCATTCCAATGGCATTCAGTCAGGTGTGGCTGACTGTGTGTGTGCACTTACACCCTTCAGCATCACCATCTTCCTGACCCAAACTGCACCAACCACCTGGCAGAAGGTGTTGCTTTTATGATTAAAAATACTTTCAGAGGACCCTATGATTAAAAGCAGAGCTTTGTGAAAGCAACAAATGTTCACACAGTGTAATGACCTGCCAAGTGCGTTTTTGATAATAGGTATCTAGGTGTTTGCATTGCCTTTTATTTTTAAGCTGTGCTGTTAAAAGGTTTATCCACCTTTCCAAGTCAATGTGTGCTCTTTAACTCTGCTTGGAAACTGCTTTATGGGCAGAATGGCATTTTTGCTCTTTTACCTGTTTGCTTTGGGGTTTTGTGTTGCAACATACTGGGAAATAATTAACCCTAAGTAGTGCTTGTGTTACAGATCAAAACACAGCTTCATTCCCTATTCTGTGACACTGAAATGAAAACCTCCTTTCTAGTTTTGTTGTGGGGTTGTTGTTTTTTTTTTCACGTGATGAAAGCGTGATGATTTATTTAAATTCCCAGTGTTTTGTACTGTTTAATAATCAAAGATGCGTTGTATATGAGCTACAGATAATGATTAACATCTGCATTCAGATTCAGAACAATGAGCAGAGCCACTCAAGTACTCATGATCAAGCATGTATGAAGTCTTTTTCATTGTCAGGACGAGGCAGGGCTGCTTTTGCCTGTGTTTTTATACCCAAATCTGATTTCCTGTCCATTATAGAATAAAATCCGTTGGATATCTGAGCATGGCTACAATACAAAAGGAGACTTCCTTCCTAAGCCATGTCTTTGATCTCTTGGTGTCACTTGTATTCTTACTGAAAAGCCATGCCAAGAGCTAAATTAAGTTTCCTGTACTGATATTCTTCTTTCTGTAAGATATAAAGAGAGGTTTTCTAGTCATTTACAAAGCGATTTTTTTAAGTGCCTTTAAATCCATCTGCTGTAGGCTGAAGGCTTCAGAGCTCAGGACTGCATACCTACAGTGTGTGCACTTCTTTGTCATCCTGTACTGAATGAATGCTGCATCACCAGTTGCTGGTTGTCCTTTGGCACAGCACTGTCAGCAAGTAACTGCATCGATTGTCCTCGGCCTCTGGGCTGCACATCCCTGGGTTGTGGAGCTCCTGCAGAAGGCGATGAGAAAAGCCAGGTTATTGACAAGTGATACCTGCTTTTTCCCTGCTGTTCTTCGTTAGCATTTCCCCATTTTCATGGTGTCACATAGTTCCTGAGCATTCAGGGGCTGATGGTTATTGGGTCACGTTTGGCTGTTTCCACATTAGTCTGCTCCAATGCATGTTAGTTAGTCACGTTAGTTAGTTAGTCAGGCAGAGGCAAGGCGGGTGAGCAAGAGAGAAGAAACAAGAAAAAGGGAAAATGGGTTACAACAACCACAGTGAGATCCTGTAGGCATCACTTCGCTTGCCAGCACTTTGATGGGCCACCTCAGTACCCGATTTCAGCCTGTTCCTCCTGTTGGGAGCTTAAAGACAGGCAGCGCTCCTACAATCTCACCAAGAGGCCCTGACATTGCAACCCCCAAAACCAATCCAACTGACTGTGATTGCACGCAGTGAGCTGTGGTTGTGCCACGAGGTCTGAGCACAGGGGGTACAAATGATGCAGTTAATTTAGCTAAGGTGGAGCACAGAAATGTGGCTGAGCTTTAAACACGCGGTGCTGAGACCTGTGCTGGAGGACCATTGTGCTGACACTGTTTGCATCTCAGCATTTGTCTCTGTTAGCAGCGTGTGTTTACCCTGAGTAAAAGCAGTTCTAAAAGTGTTGGGGTTTTTCATTATTTTTCATGTGCTGGTTTTATATTACAGGCACACTTCATGTATCATCAGTTTCAGTGTTAGCCATTATAAAATTCATATTTTTTTTATCTGTACTGTTTCTTTAGCACAGCAGTGTTTGTGTGAAGTCCATAAAGATTTTCATAGGGCATGAGTTACGAAGATGAGTGCAGGCTGCACCTTTGATTCACTGCTCTGTAATAGCCCCTATTGATTAAGGCAGCATTGGAGTATTTTTTCTTCCTCTTCTTTGAGAGCGATAGAAGTTTTAGTGATCACAGTTGTGCTGCCAAATGTCGCCGCAGAAATAAGCTGTAAATTAAGTGTCTGTTGAAGCTCTGTCTTCTCTGCTGTGTCGGTACTGCACAGGATTGGAGCAGCCCTCGTGCAATGACTCCAGGCCTTTAAATACTTACGTATGTGTTCAGCTTTGCTCACGCTGAGTGCGCCTTGCAATGCTGTGTGTGTAAAGTCAAACAAAGAAACATATTTGCAGGGTGAGGTCACTGTCACATCTCCTGATTCATGGTAAAAATATTCTCTCATTGGCTCCAAGCAGTTCCACAGATACACAAGGTGAAATGCCTCAAACAGATCTGTTCACCGAACGCTGTTGACAGCAAGCTGGTTCAAAATACTGCAGAATCATCAGAAGTCTTTGTGAGGTTATTGCCAGGATTTCTTAATGGAGTTGTACGTTGCACCAGACAAGCTAAAATTTAATCTTTTACTGGTTAATTAGAAAGGAAGTAAAATGGGGGTAAGGCGACAGCAGATAACTAAACTGCTTTTGATGTCTGATGTGTTAAAGGAGTGCATCAGTTTTAGTCAGCGTGATTTAAAAATGATTTCCATATGTCTCAATTTTTTCAAATTACATCCAATTCCTTTGTGTAAGCATTCTGTCAAAGTCAGAATCTGTTGTGTGCTGCTGGGTGGTATCTCATCGTAGCAAACAAATGGTTTTGGTGTTTTGAGTGAGGATACTTGCACAAAATTCTTTCCTTGGACACATTCGTGCCGTTCTCCTGAATTTGGTAAGGGTTGCATACATGTTTCCAAAACTAGGATCTGGCTGGTATGCTTCTTCCCTTTCAGCAGCCCTCACAAGCTGGATCTCTCTCTCAGGCAGTGTTTGCGTTTGCTGATCATCAATTCCACATCTGCTCAGCATTTCCCCTCAGATGCTTTGCCCATCTGAGCAGTTCTCTCACTGCAATCTGTCCTTCCTAGCAGTTTGAGCATTGGCAAGAAACTCTTCCATTTGAAGGTGGGCATCAGCTGATGCAAAAGGCTGTGCAGTTCACCTAACCACCTTTCAGGTAATGCTTTGACATGACTGTGGATGAACATTGAAAGAGAAGAAAACAAAGCAGGTATTTTTAATTCCTTGTGGTTTTGTTTTTTTTTTTACAGGTTCCAGATGAGCATTTCACCATTTTACTGGACTATCTGCAGGGCCTTAAGGGCAGTGCACGAGACACAACTGTGCAGAAAGCTGAAGCTCTGATGCAGGAGTTGGATGGATCGGATGCAGAAGACCCAACCATGATGGAGAAGTGCGATCGCATACGCCAAGTTCTGCAGCTGCTGTCTTGAGAATGGTTCTGTGTCTCGGTGCTTGTCTGATGGAAAGAAGCATTGAACATCACGTGCAATACTTCAAATTCGTTGTGAAGACATATTTTGATAATGAATCTGAATACTGCATTTTCTGAGTTTGTACTCGTGTTTTCAGCTACAAATATTTATCATGTTTTGAGGTGATGAAGTCAAAACTGAACACCATATATGATCCATAGACATGCTGCATTGATTAAAAGCAATCTCACTGCTTATCTTTGGAAAAATACAGCTCTCTTGTTAGTTTTTCTCCAACTCTGTCTAATTACTGCTCAGTAAGAGGAGCTTTGCAGTTCTTAACAAGAAGGGCAGAGCAGCCAACAGAAAGCCTGGAGGCTCCTTTACAATGGCAGCTTGTAGCATTAGCATACAGTGCAGTGTTTGCTCAGCCAGCTGCAGTCTGTCACTTTCAGCTTCAGAAGTGTGTCATTTGGATTTGGGAAAGATCTGTTGAGCACGGGTTGTATAACACAGTTCCTTATTAGTACTTCACGCAGTAATCAGGAGATACCATCAGCTTTGTTAGTTTTCCTTGTCTATTTCAAAGGTTTTCAGTGCTTTGCAGCAATTGTTTAGATACTCAGATAATGCACAGATGGGAACAGCTCAGATCTTCTGACCATGCGTAGTGAAATCATCTGATTGTGCCCAAACTCACCCCGTGATGAGAAGTGCTGCACAGCAACACTTTGAGTGCCGCCTGCCAATGTTGTTTTCATTTTTCTCTGTAATTGGTGTCCAAAAGAGTAAATTTGCGTTCATTTGCATTGACATGGGGCATCTATCTCCTATGAATGTGCTAAAAGTGAGGGTTTTGAGTGAGAACCAAAGACATCAATCACTCAAATGTTGCGGTATTGGCTTATGATTTAATAACACTTACATTCAGTGCTGTGTTCTTGACCTGATTCTTTAATCTTCCTGCAGATATTGTTCATGCTGTATTACCAACAACTTTATCGAATGTGTATTTTAGAAGAGTGGCTGTCTTTGGGAATTACTGCTTTAATGTGGATGGATGAAGGAGGGGAGAATCTATGGATATGCTGGCCTAATTTTTCAGTAAGAAGCATTTGAGTGGATTTGACAGCCTTCACAGTCACAGGTTATTACAAGCTTTCAGAAGTATGAAATGTATTCTTAGTAACAAATAACTTAAGATCTGGGCTTCTTGAAGGTGAGGTTTCCAACCAGAGAAGACCTGCTGTTAGCCCAAGCAGAAACCAATGCTTTTTTCTCTCCATCAGAAGAGAAGATGAATTCTAAGGGGTGAAGTTTTCTAAGTATCTTGTTGGGATTTTATAATTGCATTTTAGGTGTCAGAGGAGTTGTTCTCGCTTCTGCTTCCTGCTCATCTTAGGATTTTAATCTAGAAATTTACATTGCTTGATGATTATATTTATCAGGATTTCCTCCATGTATTTTTTTACATGATGGGGTGGGTAATTGCAGCTATGGGTTTCCTGCAGCTGCTCAGAGCTGTGCAGGCAGACACAACCCATCACTTCGTTCACTTTGTTCCATCCTTTGGTCACGTAGAGTTTGCAGATGTTAATGTTGTTTGTAGCCTAGACTATCTTATGGCTGCAGACAGGGCAGAATCGTGTCTGGGTTTCCATGCCATGGCTGCTGTGTTAATAAAAATTGAGTCCCAGGCGAGAGGTAACAGTGTGCATGGACAGTCTGACTAATTGTGTCTTCATCTCTGATCGTCTTCTTGGGCTAATCTGCATTGTGGAGCTCCAGCTGTAAGGATCCTGTCTGAAGAGAGTGCTGAAGTCAGGGCTTCCAGGCAAAATAAAGGAACATTAATTACTCAAAATTGCTTAAAGCTGGAATTGTGCCTCTAATGACAGCACTAATTACTCAGTATCTGACAACGTGAAAAGTTCCCTTTAATTTGACTGATCCTGGCTGTGGGTTGTATATCTTGTTGGCTCTCCACTGTCTCCACAGTTTTAATTTGTTATCATCGTTGTAAAATTACTGAGTCAATGAATCCTCTCTTCTCATTCGGAAGGGATATATTGTGGCTGTTTGGGCATGTAATTTATTTCCTTATTTCCTCCTACTGGAGAATAGTTCTGCTGTGTTTTGGTTCACTTAAAGCAAGGTGACTCTTGTCTTATCTCCCACCCCTTCAGGCAGTACAGAAATGCACTTCAACTGGGGCTTGGTGGGCTTTGGTTGGTTGGGTTTGCTCTGCTTGTTTTGTTTTTGACTTTTGCCGCTGAGTCAGAGCAGAAAAAGCAATACTGAAAGGGACTTCAGTTGCAAAGGCAGCACTCGGAAAGTTAGCAAACATAAGAAGGGAAAATCTTTATAGAATTTTAATTTTAGCTCATCACTCATATGCAACATGATGGATCGGTGCTGTATTTGCCACTGTCTTGTAACTGGTAAGTCATTTATTTGGCATTTATTTGGCATTTATCCTGCCAATTCTGCTGCTGTTCTCATTTTCAGAATGAGCATTAAAGCTGGAAAAGTAACTCTGCTATGTGGGTTTGGTGCTACGCAGAAGAAGCCAGTAGGAACTTTCCTGTTAGTTTCACTTAGTGCAGGATCCAGTCACAGAAGTTTCATCACAAGCATTCCCTTCAAAACATGCTTTAATGTTCTGATTCACTTACAGTCAAAATACTGAATTGATGTTACTTAATTTAAACTCAGCTTTGTTGACATAAAACTTTCCAGTGGTTTATTCTCGTTGGGGCTTTGGTTTCCTTTTATGTCTTCCTTTCTGTATGGCTGAGTGAGCCAGTTATTTCTGTGCCTGCAAATAGGAGTATTAGTTGTGTACAGCGACTGCAGTCATACAAGGACACAATTAAACGTCCTTGCCTTTGCAGGATGCTTAGCAATGATTTATAATTACGTTCTATTTTAACTTCTTCATAACAGCTTACAGAGTCAACAACTCAGCGTGGTCAAAAATAATTATTTCTCAAATTATGTTTTCTCTTTTTCCTACGAGGAGTAGAGAATACCATGCTAAATGCAGCTGATGTATAAATGACGGGGGGAGGGCGATGCAAAACAGTGGTTTATCTTTCTTTGTCCAAACAAAGCTGAATAAGAAGCTTGTGCTGTGAGGAAAGTTTGGCTGGGAGGTGGAGGGAGGGACCTTGGGATGAACACAGAGCACTCATGCAGTCGCTCTTAATGATTTCTCTTCTTTCCTACATGCAGAAAATTGTTGGCATTCCCCAATAAAACCCACAAACACACCTACGTCAAAAATGTAAATAGGTTACAGAATCAAATACTGAAAGGTCAGGAAATGCCACATGTAGATACATGGCCAGAAGAATTCTGGTCCTACCTCTCTGTGCCTCCAACCTGGAGGCTGAATTAAGGGGAATTGTGTTAGAAACAAACACATAAAACCCCCCAAATATGTGAGTGCTCAGCTGAAGGTTGTTCCCCGTCACGCCCCCGTGCACAGCAATTTCCTGTCAGTTTTAGTGATTTTGATTGTTTGGAAGGTTTCTTGATAATTCAGGTAGCACACAGCCTTTTGCTGTCACAACTGACGTCTGTTTTCTTTATGGTCTCATTGTATTTTAGAGAACTGTAAGCCTTGGGACACAGAATCTGTCCCTCTCATTTGCTTTTATAAATAGCCAGGCTGGCTGCAGCCCTGCCAAAATCCTCACTGGTTGTGGAGCTCCATTGGGCCCGGAGAAGGCTGTTGAAAGGCCACGCTTCCGTGTGCTCTTCTTGAGGTACAGCAGCCTTTGCCAGCATCCTTTGTACCAGACGGGCTTCCCTAAGCCCCATGAAATTGCCCAAATCTGATGCAGCCAAGCAAAGGGCAGCACGTCTCTGCTTTGTGATGGGAGGCTGCAGTGTGTGGGCACACAGCCTGGCGCCTGCCTTGCCTTGATGCCGGGTTCCGATCTGTTGAGACTCACAGCCCTCTTATTTGTCTGCTTTCTGTGGGCTTAACTTGACCAAACAGCTGGTTTACAAGCTCTTGGGGTGTGCTGAAAGCTTGAGCTGCAGCGTAGGACTGCTAGCATCGGTACGTGCCAATAGACTTCGTGCATTTCACAGATCTGTGCTGACGGTGTCACTGGAGCACGAGCAGCCCCAGAGTGTGAGCGTGGCCAGCGTGGTCTGACAGCTCTGTGTGGCTGCACACCAATGGTTGTTGTATCATATCTTCTTCTGCACAGCCCAGGCTGCAGGATGCTGTCCTTGGAAGGAAAGTGGCAGCCAGCTTGCCAATTGCTTCCAGAAATTGGTTCAGGCTTAGAAAACATTTTAAAAAAAACCCAAGGGTTTCCCTTTTGTTTTCTGAATCCTTTTTTATATTATTTCAGCTGTCTTTAGACAAAGGAAGGGGAAAAAAAATTAACCACAGAGAGATGGTGAGCACATCTTTGACATTGTTTAATAAGAAAATATGGACTTGTGTTGAATTACGCAGCTAATGAGGAGCAGACAGGCGGTCTCAGCCCTTTCTGGGTGGCATTTTCAGTGCCAGCAGAAGATGAAAACACAGCAGGTGAGCGCGGGTTGATGCTGTCCCCATCACAAGTGCCATGGATGGTCACTTCTCTGAGAGAGGAATGGAGGGGCTGTGACAGATGCAGTCCCTTTGGCTGCTGCTGGTGCTCCCATCCTGCCAACAGGAGGCAGCTCCTAGCTGACCTTGTGTGCACCACTGTGGGGTGGGGGTCCTCCACATCTCATAGAAATCTGTTAGCAGCCTCTGTACAGCTGCTGCTCAGCATTGCCTGTGGGCAGACATCAGAGGGCATGGGAAATGGGGCTGCTGTGCTGGGGGATGGGAGCTGCCATGTACATGCCCTGGTGTCAGCAGCCCTATGCATTGCCAGGGCTTGAGTTTGATTCTGGGATGTTTTTTAGAGAGCTGAAAGGTGTTCAGCCAGTGATGGGAAAGGTGTTGTCAATAGCGTGGAACATTTTGCTGTAGAAACCTGAAAATACCAAAGATTGCATTATACTACTGGAGCCCTGTGGGTTAAAACGTGCTGCAGTGTTTCAGGGTCTTTTGGTAGTATTTGAAAGTGATAAAGCAGTGGTCTCAGCAGAAGGCTAGCTGATGTCTCAGCTGGCTCGTCCCAACAGTCCTGCCATTCACTCGGCAATGACCTTTACCCAGGTCACCTTATCTCCCTTGCAACTCAACTGGATCGTTATAAGGGGCACCAATGTGACATTCTCTTGAAATGGGTTCAAAATCTGCCCCGAGCTCCTCTGTGGGCAGAGGGAAGCACTTTGCCTGCAGGCCTGCTGAGGTCGTGGGGGTGCTCAAGTCATTAGGATTAGTCCATAAAGCCCCTCATAATCCACATCCTAAGAATCTGAAAGGTCACTTGTGGTCCTGTAATCCCCAGTAGTGAACGGGAAGAATTAGTGGTGATTGTTTTGATCCTAAAGCACCTCTTAAGATAAATGCTGGCCTCTGCCCCAAAAGCATATGTGTGTTATTTCGGCGGGGTCCCAGAGGCTGCGCAAAGAGTGAGCAGCTGGGCTGTCACACAACATGACACGGCACAGAGTGTTTAAGAATCATTTTAACATTGGAAGGGATGGGCAGGAGGATGCGTGTGCCCACCTGCAGCCGTTGTGTTGCACCTGCTCAGCACCAGGATCCCCACACCCTCCCCAAAACCTCCCGGCGTGGCTGCTTGTGCCAACCAGAAGAGCAGAGGGAACTCTGGTGCTGGGACAGAGGGCTGGGATCCTCCAGTGGTGCTGGAGGGAAATCGTGCTGGAGAGAAGGGGCACATCTGCCCAGGGGTGCAGAGCGGGTGCCAGGCGGTGATGTTGTGGATGCGGTTGTCTCAGTGCCCCGAGGTTTGCCGTGATGTGTGGATACATCAGTGCTGGTGGTGTCAGGGCGTGTGCCTGTGGCAGGGAGGTTGGAGATTCGTGATCCTTGAGGTCCCTTCCAACCCATCCTGTGGTTCTGCGGAAGGGATCTCTGAGCAGTGCAACTGTATGGGAGCGCCTGGCTTTGCCCCGCAGAGTGGTGCCGGCACCCTGCCCTTGCCGTGTTCCATCGGGGGCTCCCTGGGGGCCGCCCAGCCCTTACTGTGGGAGGGAAAAGCGGAGGGAAGGAGATTAAAAGATTTGCCAGCAGCAGCAAGCAGTCAGCGGCTGGGCTGGGAATAGAAACCACACTCCTGGTTTCCACTCCCTGAACCTGGCCGCCAGACTGTATTAGTAATGCGAATGCAAATACAGGGAAACGTTTCCTTTTTCCAAGCCGCCCTGCTCACAGGTTGTCCCTTCGAGTCGGGGCTGCTTGCAGTGAGGTGACACACAGCACCCAGCAGTGCAGGCCCTCTGTCTGTGCTGACACAGCAGCGTTCAGTAGGGCAGTACTGCCACTGCTGTGTTTAAGGAAGCCCGGAGGGATGCGGTGGTGATAGCCATCAATAGGCCTTTGTGTTCCCCAAAATGTTCCCTCTCACAGCATGCCACAGGCTCGAGGTTGGCAGTTTGGGAGCAGGCTGGCATTTTAACTAGTAGGTATGGGAGGGTGGTGGTGAGTCAGACACAAGTGGGATGTGCAGCAGAATGGGGCCGAGGGGCCGGCAGTGCCATCGATGGTCTTTGGGTTGCCTTTGGGTTTGTGCTCGCTTTGTTCTATTCCCACATTGCTCCTCCATGTTGTAAACAAGCAACAGGATCAAAAAGTAAAAGCAGTGTGTGGATGCCACCCAACCAAACAGGCAGAGCAAACTGCACGGGAGGAATAGCGTTTGGAAACGCAGCACTGAGTCATCAAATAGAGTCCATGTTAAAGGCTCTCAGAGAAGCAGTTTGGGGGCAATCTCCTTCTGAAGGAAGGGCAGCTGGTTGCCTCTGTGCTCACAGGGCCGTGGCCAGGGCTGCGTTCTGCTGGTGTCGTTGCCCTGTGTCTGTGTGTCATGTTTGTGTACGGTACAGAAAGGGCTGCAGGAGGGAAGGGGATGTGCTCTGTAGTGGTTCTGTGTCACAGGACAAAGGGGAAATGGTTTCACACTGAAAGAAGGCAGATTTAGATTTGGATATGAGGAAAAAGTTTTTTATGATACAGGCAGTGAGACAGTGGCGCAGGGTGCCCAGAGAGGCTCTGTTAGTGCTACTGCTCGGGGCTCAAGCAGTGAGTTGTTCCCCTGCCCCTTGCTGTGCAGTTACAGTGTGACACCCCCAAAATGGGGCCGTTGTGCCCCACTGCCCCTCACTGGCCCCAGGGCTGAGGCAGGAGAGCTCAGCTGCTGGCTCTGGTCCTCTGTCAGACAGCAGTTAATTGGGAAGGGCTCAGCCTCCAAATGCTTTGCAAACACCAGGGTAATGACTTCCTTTCCCAGGCCTGTGGGTGGTTGGCACTCCGGGTAAGGGCTTCTCTTCCTGTGACTCTCCTGTGCTGCGTGACCCTGCTTGACCCGGGGAGGTTTGACTTTTCAAAAGGTTCGTTTACTCCTAGATAAAGATTAATTTTCATTTTAATTTTTAACCTTAAATCTCATGGGAATGCGTTTTTGCATTCCATCCAAGATGCTGTTATCTGTGCCCAGCTTTGCCCCCTCCATGGCTTGCTTCACCTAGGAGGTAATGAGTAACCCCTATTCCTCTGCTGGGCTGGGACCCAGTGCTGGGCTCCACGTGGTTCTGTGTCACAGTGTGAGGAGGTGCAGCTCCTACACCACCGCCTTCACACGGAGCCCCAAAGACCTTCCAGCAATGATAGTAGCAACGCTGGGTCAGCCCCAGGGGAGCTGCAGCACAGGGCTGCCCTCACAGCAGAGCCCTCTGCTCCCAGCGCTCTGCCCAGAGCTGCACAGACAGCCCTTGTCCCCGCGGGGACACGCAGCACTTCTCCAGACTCCCGGTCTCCTGCTCTCACCGCAGGAAAAGGCTGTTGTGTGTAATGAGGGCGGGTTTGGGAGGGAGCACCGCGGGGTGGGAGCCGTGCTTGGTCTCCTCTGTCTGGCAGCTCTCACTGCAGTCAGTGGGAGCAGCAGGCCTGGCACACAGCCACGCAGCAGCTCTGCAAGACACACGGGTCTTGTGTCCCTTTTGGTGGGTAAAGAGGGGAAGTGGCACCAGGTGACACTCCACAGCCGCAGGAAGAAGTGCACCCCACTCATAAAAGCAGGATGCATGGAATTTAACCACGGCTCTGGGGTTTGCGGTGCGGAAGTCATTTTTCACCAATGTCTGCTCCAAGCAGCAAGGAACACCGTCTGTGTCTGTAATCCCTTGCAACTGGGGGGGTCCCTGCACAGGGATGGACCTGGTGGTGATGGGCAGCCCCCAGCCCTAAATTCCCTGAGTGAGGCTGGGAAAAGGACTGGAAGCCCGAAGCAGAGCAGAGGAGCTGCATGTGGCTGTGTGATGTGATGGCACAAGGTGTGCTGCAGGGCTGCAAGGGAAGGAGGCATCTATAGGTAGAGCTTTAGGACAGCCCAGATTCAGTAAATAGGAAGAGACAAGGAACGGAGCTCCAAATCTGCAGAGGGAGCTAACAAGTGCATCCCGAATCTTTTGCAGATTGCCTGGTTCTGTTTTTCTTTGCGGGAGAAAATGCTTCGCTGGAGGGGGGAGCAGCTGGAAGGGGCTGTGTGCAGCTTCATGCATCCCCTGGAGCAAATCAGTGCACTGCAGGACCTGCTGCACCTGTGCTGCACCTGTGCTGTGCTGTGCTGTGCTGCAGGGTGGGTGCTGGCTGTGAAGGATGATTTGGAATTGGCATTTGTAAGCTATCAAAAGTGCATGGTGAAGAGCTGCTGGTGTCCACAGATGAGGTTGGATGAGAAGATGGAAGAGATGGAGAGAGGGAATATAAAGAGAGATTTCACGATTACTGCTTAATTGTGAAACAGGTGTGGATCACTCAGGTTCTGGGCAAATTATTGCAGGCAGAAGAATGGCAGTGAACCCAGTCAGCTCCATGGCGTGGGAACCCACACCTCCCCGAGCTGTGTTTGGACTTTGCCTTTTACAGACAAAAATTCCCAATTTTGTGAGGTATGGGCGTGGAGGGGAGGATTGTGCAAAGCCCAGCAGCAGCCCTGGCATCAAATACTCTCAATAAATACAGTGTGAGTGTCTTAATCAACAACTCTCAGCAGAGTGCAGAAGGCCAGGCTCCGCCAGCATGGCTGCCCTGGTGCCCCTGCTCACCTGTTGGCTCTGCGCTGCGCTTTTCATCGCTGCGCTCCTCTGTGTTGTAAAAGGTTTTAAACGATCAGCTTTAAATTTACCTCCCGGTCCGTTTCCTCTGCCCATCATCGGCAACCTGCACCTGCTGGACATCAGGAGGCAGGACAGGTCTCTGATGAAGGTAGGAGCAAGCGCACGTGCTGCCTGGGGCCCTGGGGGGGAAATGGCTGCACTTCTCCCTCCAATGGCAGTTCTGAGATAACTGCTCCGTGCCAAATGCTGGGGTTTGAAAGTGTGATTTAATTAACTAAATGCAAAGCTTTCCGGATGATGAAGGAAACTGTTCAACCCCAACTGTGCAGAGTTTGGTGGGCTGTCAGTATGTAAGAGCTGCCCACACAGTGAAGGCTATGAGTATCTGCATCAGTTTGGGTGGATGAACGTAAACTTTGGCATCTTTATGCTGTGAAATACTCCAAAATATTTGAGTGTCCACATGGCCAAATTGAAAGGCGGATGCTTAGTTGTAGTTGCCAAAATAGCTTGTATGTCTTGCTCATCATGCTGGTTTTCTAGAAGGGAGTTAGTGCAGCACAGCCTGAAGAAAAGATATAGGGGAAATAATTTAAAACCATGAGTGGCTTGGACTTGGAAAAACATGGGTAGGGTAGGATGTCCTGAGCTAGAAGAGACCCAGGAGAATCACCAAGTCCAACTCCTGGCTCCACGTGGCCTCAAGCTGCACCAGGGGAGGGACAGGTTGGACAGGAGGAAAAATGTCTCCCAAAGGAATGGTGCAGCACTGGCACTGCTGCCAGGGAATGGTGGGGCCACCAGCAAGGAGGTGTTCCAGAACCACAGAGATGTGGCACTGAGGGATGTGGTTTGGTGTCGTGGTGGGGGTGGGTTGGGGTTGTGCTTGGTGATCTTAGAGTTCTTCTCCAACTTCAACGACCTCACCAGCAGAGCAGGACGTAGTGCTACCGCTGACCACTGATTTTTCCTCTCCTTGCAGATTTCGGAGAAATATGGGCCAGTGTTCACTGTCCACCTGGGGATGCAGCAGGCGGTGGTGCTGAGCGGCTACGAGGCGGTGAAGGATGCACTTCTGAACACAGCAGATGTGTTTGCAGACAGACCTGCTATCCCCATCTTCCATCACATCCAGCATGGAAATGGTACCGGTGCCTTGCAGAGATCAGGGCACGCTCACTCTGCTGTTTTCCAGACGTGTTCTTTCAATTTCAACCACATTTAGGAGTCTTGAGCCCATCGGTGGCTACACGGGGAGGGATTGAGGCAGTTTGCTTTCTGCAGAACAGCAGCTGTGAGCACCTTCCTATTTGCCTTATCCATTTTTTTTTTACTTTTTGCGGTACTTGGGTCACATTTCCAGGGTTCTGCTGCAGTGCAGAAGGAAGGAAATTATTTTTCACATGAAGGCTGATGTCCTTATGCAATCTCTCTTCTGCAGTTACTGGCAGTTCAGACAGAGCCTGGATCATGCATGACTCATGATAAAGACTGCAAGAACTGGCAGGAGCGCAATAGCACGAGCTGTTTGTACCTCAAACAATTACTTCTGTAAACAGATTTTTGGCATATTTCTGCATTGCATGCTAAGAAGTAATACATTGCCCAAGACGAGACACTGAAAAACAGTGAAGGGAATAATCCAGGGCTGAAAGGAAAAGATTTGATGACCTAATACGTATATAATGCATACAGCGTGTGGGGTTTTTTCATCTTGTTTTTAAAAGTGAGGCCCGGAGTGAGGAGGGGTGCATTGTATGAAGATGTAGACCGTGCTCAGCCCTGGAGCCAGCTGGGCAGGGAGCACCACCGTGGCACCAGGGCTGCCTGCTGTGCTGGTCTCTGCCAAACAGGAGAGCTTTTGGCATCACCTAAGGGCCAGCTGGGGAGATTTCCCAGCTGTAAGCTGTGGTACCTCCCTGCCATCCCTCCTCATCCCCTTGCACAGAAGAAAGTTCATCCTCTAAAACTGCAACAGGGAAATTGTTTGTCCCATTCATGACATGGACACAGCAGTGTCGTCTGCTCCGAGCCTTGCTCTCTGAAACAGCTGCGTTGTTTTCCTGGAGGAAAACAAGTCAGCCTGAGACAAATACCACACATAGAGATTTTGCTGTGTGTGGTTGAGAAGGGACAAAGCTATAAATAGGCAAAACCCAGAGGTGTGAACAGCAGATTGCTTCCTGCCCTGTGGAACCTGCGTGGGGCTGGGCTCTCCCAGGGCAGCCCTCCCCCAGCACCCGGCCCTGCATGTCACAGAGCCCCTATGTACCAAGCAAACCCCATAGCAGCTGTGCAGCCACACCATCCATCCCCCCGTAGGTGTGTTCTTCTCTTCCCAAGAGCTCTGGAAGACAACACGGAGGTTCACCTTGGCAGCTATGCGGGAGCTGGGCATGGGGAAGCGGCTTGCAGAAGAAAGGATGCTCGAGGAGCTGCAGTTTCTCACTGAGCTGATCAAATCCTTCCAAGGTGAGCTGAGGTGTTTTATTACTTTGCAGAGCCACTGCAAAGACCTCAAGGTTGCTCTGGAAGACAAATGCAGGTGATTTGGGCCATTTCCAGGTGGGCCATTCCGACTTCGGCTTTTGAACGCAGCCCCCACCAACATCACCTTTGCTATCCTATTTGGGAGAAGGTTTGACTACGCAGACCCAACGTTTGTCACTCTGCTACGACTCATTGATGAAGTTATGCTCCTTCTTGGCTCCCCGTTCCTGCACGTAAGTCACCCCCCATGCTGAGTGTAATTGATTTATAATTCATGGGAAAATTAAAAATGATGCTCTAACAGTTTCAAAAGAAACGTATTTGGCTTGCTAAACATTTGGAGTTTTCTTTGCTACAGCTTCATGCTTTATCTTTTTGCTTTATTACCTCTTTAAAAATGTAATTTCATTGTTTCATGAGTTCACTATCACTTTCCCTTAATTGTGTTCTTTTAATTCATGTTTATAGGCTGTGTCTAGACAAGTCTGATAGCTCCCATTCATTTCTGTAAAGAATTTTTCGTAGGAGACATTTTTATACACTACATTTTTTTAGTTAGCCAGAAAGAGAGACTCTCATACCGTGTCATTTGGTTCCTCACCCAACTGATGTCTCACATATGATCCTTAAGTTTTTGCAGTCTTTTACAGAACGTTTTTTTTTTTTTTTTTCCCCATGCTATTTTCCCTCTTTTTTTAGCTATTTAATTTCTACCCATTTCTTGGATTTCTTCTCAAACCTCACAAGATGATACTGAAAAAAGTGGAAGAGGTGTGTGTGATCCTAAAGAAACATATCCAGGAAAGCAAAGCAAAAATTAATGGAAACAGCCTGATGAGCTACATTGATGCTCTGGTCTTCAAACAAGAGGTATTTCAGCATTACAGTGGTCACTGATGTGGCATCTTGTGCAGAGCCACACTGCTGCAACGTTCTGTCTTCCCATGCTGACAGCGCTGCCTTTTTCTGTTTATTTCCCTACAGGAGGATAATAAAAGCAATAACATTTTTCACGATGCAAATGTGTTGGCCTCTGCTCTTGACTTGCTCATGGCTGGCACTGAAACCACATCCACCACCCTGCAGTGGGCCGTCCTGCTGATGATGAAGTACCCCGAGATTCAAAGTGAGACACCTTTGTGGGCCTCTTACACAGGGAATTAAAGCACTCTGCAGTGACTTCATAAATGCTGCTCACCTACAAAAGCCCCATAGCTGCTCTCCAGGGCATCCAAAATCTGAGTGCCTGCAATGTGTCCATCTCTGTCCAAGCTTTGTATGCTGCCTTTCAGGACTGAGGGATCCGAGGGCTTTCTCTCACCTACTGCCAAGGGCTGCATATCTTCATTGCATCCCGGGGGGGTTCAGCCAGCACTCACCATGGGTCAGGGTTTGGAGATGATTTCCTCACTCGATGCCTTCCCTTTGACCACAGAAAAGGTGCGTGCAGAGATTGAGCGCGTTCTTGGTCCTGGCTGCCTGCCTACCTTTGAGGACCGGAAAAGCATGCCCTTCACCAACGCGGTCATCCACGAGGTGCAGAGATTTGTCACCCTTCTGCCACACGTTCCTCGCTGCACCTCTGCTGACACCCATTTTAAAGGCTATTTCATCCCCAAGGTACGTGCTGCTCTGCAGCCCAAGAGCGGGCGGTGGCACACGGGACAGATTTGGAGTGTGGGCTTCTGCTCAGAGCTCAGTAACAGCACAAGGTGACGTAGTCGTAGGTTAGTCAATAATTCCAGCAAAGGCAGTATGTAATAACTAGTATCACTTGATTACGTACAAGCTTAGAAATCGCTTCTCTGGAAGTTTGCTTGAAGGCTCAAAGGGTTTGTATGCCTGGATGGCCTTCAGCTGAACACAGCTGTGTTGTAGGGAACAACAGTGATTCCTCTCCTCTCCTCGGTGCTGCTGGATAAAACTCAGTGGGAGACGCCGGATGAATTCAACCCCAACCACTTCCTTGATGCAGATGGGAACTTTGTAAAGAAGAAAGCGTTCCTGCCCTTCTCCACAGGTGACAGAAGGGTTTGGGCTGGCACAGGGCTGAGTGTGCAGCCAGGTGTTGGGCTGTGAGCTCTGGCAGCAGCAGCACAGGTCAGCAGTGGGGATGTTGTAGCAACATTCACTCTGGGTTTCAGTGAATTGCAAAATTCAGTCCTCAGTGAGAAGCACACCAGGCCCCAGGGTTTAAAGACACCTCTGGGATGTAGAAAACTCAAGCAGGAGTTCTGCCTTCTCTCTCCCTTAGGAAGAATGGTTTCTAGGTTGTCCCAAACCAATGCCTTGCAGGCTTGGAGTGAAGCAGCCTTGCTCAAATACGTATGGCAGACCAGTGGCAATGGCTGCTGATCATCAACCCACTACGTCTGCAGTTCTGCAGCCTGTTCTGTCCCTCACACTGTTGCCACTGAGTGGTAGGGAAGAGTTCTCAAGGAAACTGCCAGCCCACAAACCGCTGTGCTCTTGGCATCGCAGGGCGGAGAAACTGCATTGGAGAAAGCCTTGCCACTGTGGAGCTCTTCATCTTCTTCACGGGCTTGATGCAGAAGTTCACCTTTAAGCCTCCCCCCGGGGTGAAGGAATCCGAGCTGAACATGGCAGCAGAGGCCGGGTTCACCATGCGGCCATTCCCGCAGTGTGCCTGTGCTGTGCTGCGCCGGGAGCCCCAGCCTCAGGGTGCACAGCATCCCATGTAGCTGCTCGCTGCAGAGCCCAGCAGATGCACACAGGAGAAACCAGATCTCACTATGCGGTATTTAGCAGCAATTCTTACCCAAAGCCTTTCAGTTACTGGCGCTGTGCTTAAAATGTGCTGAGCAAACGGTTTTGTACGAAGCAGAGGAGAGCTGGGCCTGAGGTGAGCTGGGAATAGCACCCAACACATGACGGGGAATGACAGAACCATCACTATTTCACACATTAAATGCACAGCGTAAGGAAATGTTCCCAGTTCTCAGATTCTGAGAGAATGTTTCTCATGGGCAGTTTGTTCCTTCATTTGGCGAGTGACATTAGATACAGATTGTCTCATTCTCACATCCATGCTCTTCTCCCATTCCTTACTGTACATGTTGTAATGAACTACTCCCAGATACCTGCACCATGTCCAGTGGATGCCCTTCCTATACTTTCCAGTCTTCTGATTTTCAACCCCATTACCAAACCGTGACCTTTTAGGTTCCTGTGCTCTGAGGGATCTCATCACACCCCTTCACTACTGATGACAACAGGACTCTCGTTTCCAGCAGCTCACTTCTTCCTTGGTCTGAAATGCAGAGTAGGGACCAGAAGGACTTGACAGGTCTGCAGTGGGAGGTGGGCTGAGACAATGCCTTTCAAAGAGTTTGCACAGGTGAACCCCATGGAAAGGGGCTGTCTGCTGTAGGATGGGAGGAGGGCAGCTCCCATTACCTGCACACCACCTGATTCTTCCAGGTTAATGGTGAATAAATAGTGCACATCTCTTTGCTCCTATCCTCGCTCCCAGGTGAGTGCAGTTGGACTGGGGGTTCATAAAGCTGCGAGGTGTTCCCTGCACGGAGCCCTGGCTGTGGCTGACAGGGCATTCTGGCTCAGTGAGAACTGCAGTGACTCGGAGGGATCGTGGTGCCATCTCGTGGCAAAAGGGAAATAGAGATCATCTGCATGATGGTTGTTGCCCTGGCCAGCGTGCAAAGGGGCTGCAAATAGAGGGGCAATGTTCGTTGCACAAGTTGCTGCTATTCTGGCACCTGGCCATCGTCCCTTGGACAGCAGAGCCCCGGGGAAACCACTCTGCTGATATGGAGGCTCCCCAGCTGAGCCATTTGTGATAGGATCAGGGCATGCAGAACCTCTCAGCCGTGGGGTACGAGTTGAACCAATTGTGTTATTGGCACTCTGGGCTCAGGTTCAACTCCATGGCGTTTGCTTTTCTGCGAAGTACAAAGCTTGGTGGCAGAAACATCTGATGTAATGAAAACGTGGGAGAATTAAAACTTTATTGGGTTCCCGTAAAGGGAAAGATATAAACAATGTGATAAAGCACACGATAAGATAATGCATATGGAGAACAGCGATTCACAGGCAGCTATTTGGATGGAAAATATCCTGAGCTATACATCAACCGGATTGAGATTGCAGAATGTGATGGCTGATAAGAGTGCTATGGACTGGGGCAGCAGACAGCAAAAGAAAATAACGACAATTTGGTCTGATCCAAATTCTCCTTGCATGAGTGTTTGCATGCATACAAGGCTCCACTTGCAAAGAAATTGCATGGTTGGTTCCAATGGCCAAACTGTTCCAAACTGCACTGATTGCCCAGGAATTCCTGAGAGAGGGAATGCGTTTGCTCCTATTTTAACCAGGTCAGAAAAGACAGACAACCATAAAACTAGAAATGAGTCTGGTTTATTTTCCTGTATCATTAGCCTTTTATGGTCACTTGCTGGTATGAATGTTAACTGCAAACTTATAAGTGTAGATCCTCTTCCATTCAGACTGTGGAGCAGTGTTGAACATGGTGGCGGCAACTCTTGGCTATCTAGACAGGCTTGCAGACTTTAAGGTGACTTTCAGGACTGTGTTTCAAGGAGGAAGAACTTCATCCCCACAGCCCGTGGATGGGTGGTTTTGCACTTTCAGTGCTTGTCTTGGCTGCCTGCCCCAGTGGGATTTTGCTGGAAGCTCTGGCTAATGAGAGAGCTTGGCTCAAGAAGCACCTACAGCGTATTTCAGCTCCCAGTGAACGCTGGTGTGTCTTGAGTGGGAATTTTGGGCAGATTTCTGCAGTGTTGTGAGCCTTACTTCTTTGGCGTTGAAGTGTGGATGTCACACCTACATGTCATGGACACACACCCCCTGGTCCTTCAGCTGCTGGGTGTCCCTCTCTGGGAGGGTCACCAGGATTGTGTTTTCTCATTGATTTGCCTGCATTCCCCACAGCAAGGGAGCAAAGAGCAGGTCAGCGACCTATGGGGAGATGTAGGGGTGGGAGTGGACAGAGACAGCGGGGGGGAAATACGACAGAGCGTGGCACGATGGCACGGGGCGATGAGCCCTAGCACAGCTAAGATGGGCCTTGGTGGTGTCCCCGCCTGGCCGCCCCGCAGCAGCACTGCCTATTCGCGCAGGACGGCACAGGTCGCCTGGGGCCGAGGCCTTAATGTGAAAGTCGTTTCGGGGACGGTCAGGTCCAGGTCAGCCTCTGAAACTCCCGGCTGAGGTTGGAAAGTGAATGTCTGCAGCAGCCCGACAAAGAAGACAAACAGCTCCATCTTGGCGAGGCTTTCTCCGATGCAGTTCCTTCGCCCTGCGGATGGAAGCAGCATGCTTACTTGACGGCAGTATCAGGCTAGAGAAGTCCTGTCACAGTGGGTTTACCAAAATGTCTCGCTCCAACTCTAAATGTTGCTTTGCCAGTGCCCTACCAACCCCCCTGACCACAGGGCTGTCCTTCTTCCTAGAAAGGTCCTTTCCCCAGCTGGATCTTTGGGAGCCAGCCGTTGAGCTCGTTATCCAAATGAGAGGCAGTAATTAGCCATGTGGACCCCTCGGTGTGGCCGAGGCCTTTGGGTACCTGTGGAGAAGGGCAGGAAAGCCTCCCTCTTGACAAAATTCCCTTCAGCATCAAGGAAGTGGTTGGGGTTGAACTGGTGTGGTGTCTCCCACTGCGTCTTATCCAGCAGCACCGAGGTGAGCGATGGGATGACAATTATGCCCTGGGAGAAGACACAAGAAATAGCAAGGCCCAGGGGTGCCTGTGGTGCAGCACCAAGGGTCCTGGGTGAGGGGTGTGGGGAAGGGGCTGGGGATGAGGAGGAGCTCCTGTCTACGGTGGGTTTACCAAAACGTCTCACTCCAACTCTAAATATTGCTGTGCCAGGAAGATTCTTGGCTGGGCAGAAAGGCAGGATTTATTGCTCTGTGTTGCTTTATTTTGTGACGTGGCTTTATTCTGTGACGTGGTTTTTATTGCTTTGAGTGGGGCAGGCGGAGAACCTGAGGATTTCATCCCCTCCACCAACAGGGAGATTTTCCCAGCCATGCCAAGCACTGAAGCCAAATGCCACGTGGCATGGTGAGGACCTGAGGCAGAGGGTCAGATCCTGAGCATTCCCAGGCAAATACTTCACTGGGCAGATGGCATCAGAGGTTAACCAGGGTCACTCTTGGAGTGTGGAAGAGCTGAGCATGAGGGCCTGAATCAAGTTCCCCTGTACTGGTCTCTCTGGGCTCAGCACAGTCATTGGAAAGGAAGGAACTCTTCTGGGGTAATTCTGGACATTTGTCCCTCTAAAGAAGCTGCCTGCAGTGCCACTGGCAACAAGAGGAGTGCCGTGTGCCCTGGGCTGGGCCGTACCCACCTTGGGAAGGAAGTATCCCCTGAAGTGGGTGTCCACAGCAGTGCAGCGGGGAACGTGGGGCAGGAGGGTGATGAACCTCTGCACTTCGTGGATCACTGCGTTTGTGAATGGCATCTTCTTGCGGTCCTCGTACGTGGCCCAGCTGCCAGCTTTGACAGTTCTTCCAATCTCCTCCTGCACCTTTTCTGGAAGGAACAAAGAACGGGGATGTATCCCAGCGAGGAAATCAACTCCCCCTGCAGATTTGATTTTGGTAAAATATGTGTTTTTCCAGGGTCTGGAGGAAGAGGAGTCTTAAAACACCAGGAGCTCACTTTGGATCTCAGGGTACTTCATCATCAGCAGGATGGCCCACTGCAGCGTGGTGGCCGTGGTCTCTGTGCCCGCCATGACCAGGTCAAGTATGGATGCAATTAAGTTGTCATCATGGAAGAGACTGTCTTTCTTGTTTTTCTCCTTGAAAAGGACAAGTGTGAGAAAGCTCTTAAAATAGTGTTAGTATTCAGCAAGTTTGGGAAATGCTCTCTAACCCAGAAGGCTGTTGGGTATGATTGTGTGTTTGAGAACAGTGTGGTAAATGGCCTGATGTCGCTTCTCCTGGGCCATAGGAGTCTGCACTGAACCTTCCTCCACAGTGATGGGAAGAAGACCAGTGCCTCACGTTGGCCCAGATCCAGTGGGAAAGAAGAAAAGATTCAGAGCGTAAATACTTTGTGTGGAATGAAATCAACTGATGTGTGAAATTGCAGTCTCTACTGAAGTAAGATGCAGGGCTAGGCTCGCAGATGTACTGACCATTTATCATTCCAGTTCTTTAAGTGTATCATTCATCTTGGAGCAACAGTATCAGTGATTAATTGATTTGTTGTCATACAAAGAAAAGCACAGTCAGCTTGCATGTGAGTTCATGCATTTTCTACTACAAACAAGGGCTTCATTCACATTATTAGCACTGCTGTTTGGGGGATGGATTGAGAGAATGGCTTTCAAATCTCAATTTTGATAGAAAAATCCCTGCAGTAAAGTACACCAACCATACAAGACTGGAATCTGATTTCAGTGCCACTAGAACAATAGCGTTAATTTCAGTAGGGTTACATGATAGAACTGAAATCCAGATCCACAGCTCTTTAAGCTAGAAAAGCCAAAGGAGACATCACAAACAGCCAGCAGAGCCCAAGCAGACCCATACCTCGTGCTGCTTGAATACCAATGCATCAGTGTAGCTCCTCACACTGTTCTCATTGATATCTTCCCTGCTCGCCTTCATGTATTGCCTTATAATAGCACGCACATCTTCTATTTTCTTCAGCAAAATCTTGTGAGTTTTGAAAAGAAATCCAAGGAATGGGTAGAAATTGAAATACTAATAAGAAATTTAAAAAAAAAGAAGAAGCGTTAGGTGTGCAGGAGAATCAACATGCTGAAATGGCTTCTTCCTAAGGCACGACAGATGAGGTGAGTTTTGTCTGTAGTAATATCTGTGCATCCCAGGGAGGTCTGTAGGGCTTAGGCTCATTTTCACACGGATGGGCTTTGCAACCTTTTAGCCTTTATGCAGTACAACTCAATTTTAAGCTTTTTTACTGTTCAGTGGGAACTGCCCCTCCACCAGTGACAGACTGGTCAGGAAAAAATGCTAACCATTGGGACAGGTTACTTACATTCAAGTATGGAGATCCCAGAAGAACCATAACTTCATCTATGAGTCTTAGGAGAGTGAGAAATGTTGGGTCCTTATAGTCAAACCTGTCCCCAAAGAGCATGAGGAAGGTGATGTTGATCGGAGCGATGCTGAAGGACCTCAGGCTGAAAGGTTCCCCTGCAATGGGAGGAGGAGAGCAGTGTCAGAGGGTCGTGGATGCTGCAGAGCACCCCGGTGGGCTTCGGCTCACCTTTGAAGGATTTGATCTTCTCAATGAGGAAGTGAAGCTCCTCACAAACCTTCCCCTCCATCATCTGCTTCCCCATGCCAAGGTTGCGCATGCTGGAGACGGTGAACCTGCGCGTTGTTCTCCACAGGTCGCCGATGGAGAAGAACACACCTGGGGCAGGCACAGCACACCAAGCGAGTTATGGGGCCGGGCGAGGAGGGAGCTCCCCAAGCTTCTGCCACCCAGTTCCCGTGGCTCTGGGGAACTGGGGTCCCCCATTTCTCTGTGCCCCAGCCCCGCACCCTCTCGGCTCAGCTTTCCTGGTCACACTGAGCCTGCTGGCCGCGGGGTGGAGGGAGGGCTGTCAGACCCACAGCGTGGGGCTGGGGGGGAGCCGGTCTGAGTCAGCCGTGCAAACTCTCTGACCCTGTTTGGTTGCAAGGTGGGGCCTCAAGCAACAGCCTTGTCTCTTTGAAGCTTCCCTCTTTGTTCTATTCCAATCATAAAGATCTTTTATCTTTGTGGGATGGGATGATTCACCCTCCTCGATCCCAGTCAGTGCTCTACTGGTTTTTGAGATTCCCAATAACACTAAAAACGCCCCCACTTTAGGGTGGAGAGAAAAAGTGATTCTTCAGAAAATCTGTGACCCTTGCTACCTACAGCCTGTGTGAATTTATGGCTTTGGGTCACCTCTGAGCAATTCTGACTTGGGTTGAGAAGATAACAGAGAAAGGACTGATAGAGCAATACTGGAAGCCTCCCACAGGGATATTTTATGTGTAAATGATGCTTTTCCCCCATCAATTCCCTTTCCCTGTGTAGTGACAAATTCGTCTCTTGATATTGTGGCTGGGTAATTTAATTTCTAATTGTAATCCCAGCTCTGGCCTGTGACCAGCATACAGGGCTGCCTTTTGGCTGCTCACACCAGAGGCTGGCTGGAGGAACAAGGCAGGATGTCCTCTGATGTCCTTGGGAAAAGCACGGGGATATCTGGGGAAAGAATTTCCAGCCTCAGCCCATTGCTGAACAGAATACACGTCCAAACTGAGAGCTTTGGTGGAGGGAGACAAGATGCTGGGGACTGACTGTATCCAATAATGGATGCCAGGCGTCGGGATGAAAGGGCAAACCTGTGCTTTTAAAAACCCCACTCCTCGCCCTCCAACGAGAGGATAAGGGTTGACTGCAAGTGCACGACCAAAATATAATGTCAGTGGAAATGCATTGCATGAAAGTGAGGGAATGCCATCGGTGTAGGGAGGGTCCAAGGAGCTTTTCAAAGCTGGGCTGCTGGGAGCAGCGCCACACTGGCACTGAGCGGCACCGTCCCTCCCACCCCCCCTCATTGCTCTAGTACCGTTTCCATTCTGAATTTGGTCAAATATTGGGATGGATGGTCTGTCTACAAACTCCTCTGTGTAGTTCACAAGCGCCTCCCGCACAACTTCGTACCCGGTCAGGACCACAACTTTCTGGAAGCCAAAATGGAGGGTGAAGACCGGGCCGTATTCTTCCGCAAGCTGAAAGAGAGGTAAGCTGTGATGGTCAGCAATGAGGGAAAGTCCCTCAGTCAGCACTCCCCGGGGTTGAGCGTGGGATGCTCTGCATGGGTGAGCGGAGGGGTGCTCAGGTTTATTGCCCACCCCCTGTCAGTGCATTGCTAATCTAATCTCTTTGTTAAGGAGAAAGTGAAAAAACATAAGTGCAACATGTGGAATTACATTGGACTTCAGATGGCAGTGCAGGTTGGCCAACCAGAGAAAGACCATAATAGTGCAAATAGTGGCGCTGTTATACGGGACAGACCTTGCTCCTCTCCTGTGCTCCTGCTGCTGCTAGATCAAGGGATTGGAGCAACAACAGCTGCAGAGAAGGGTCTGCAATGGCTGAAGGAGGGCAGTGAGCGGCCCCAGGTGCTGCCCAGCTGCATGCACAGCCTCAGCCCACACAGTGCAGCCTCAGCCCACGCAGAGGAAAGAGTGCATCCCCACCTGCCCAGCAGCACCCCACCAGTGTGCCCAGCCAGCTATACTGCAATGCAGACACTGCTTCAGTGTTAATCTGTGGGGTGAGGAACAGGGATAACCCCTCTGGATTAATCCCAAATTAAAATCAAATATAGGTGACTGTAAATACAACGGAGCAGGCAGTGAGAGCACGCAGAGGTCAGTCAGAAACTCAGTCTGAAGGCAAACCTGTGCCCAGCACACTGGGTGAGCTGCCCCAGCGCTGCACTGCCCAAAAGGCAGAGCAGCAATGCAGCCTCAGCCCAGCACTGCACACCCGGCAGCTGCCTGCATTCAGCCAGCACTGGAGCGATGGAGCCCCACTGGAGGAGGGAGCGATCCGCAGTGCTGGCTGTGCCAGCTGTGCCTGGCACCAACACACAGCTCCAGCATGAGTGGGGTAAGCCGCTCTGATTGCAAACCAATGGAAGAGCTTCCAGGCTTCTCCTTTCTGGTTCCTCAGCTCAGTCTTCCCATCCCACCCTTCTGCTGCTGTCTGGATTTTAATGCAAATCCCTTTCATTCAGAGGGAAATAGGCTTTGCAGTGGGACATCTGGATTTGGGGTCTCTGCATCACGACATTCCCCCACCGCTTCTCTAGAACGCAGGGAGGGAAGTGGTTTCCATTCACGCTAGTTCTTTCCTAATGCTGTCCGCATTTTCTGGGTGTCAGAGCTGTCAAATTAATATTTAAAGTCCCACAAGTGCTGCAGACTTGATGTACATCATCGCAATTACATGAAGAAATCTCATATTACCCAGAGGTGTTTTTCTTAACGGTTGATTGCTCATAAATGACACTGCACCAACACAGACATTGGCTTGAAGAAGACCAGAAAGAAAATATTATAAAGCAGTTTCCACACCTTTACTATCCAGTTCAAATTCAAAAAGACAAAAAATCAGCACTGATATAGCCCAGGCAGCTTTAAAATGCACGAGGATCCAGGTTTGGGTTTTTTGTCCTACCTTCATTAGTGACTTATCTTGCCTTCTGATGTCCACCAAGTGCAGGTTACCAATGATCGGAAGAGGAGTTGGACCAGGAGGCAATTTAAACGCTGCGTTTTTAGAGCCGGTTGAAAAATAGAGTGCAGCTAACAGCACTGCTGCACACAGCAGACCCATTAACACAGGATCAGAGATAAAAGAAATTAAGAAAGCCATTTTTTTTTTTAAGTACTACTCTGGTTTTTGGTGTTAGAAGCAATCAAAGCGCAGCGGCAGCGCTCGGCTCCTGCCAGCTGGCTCTCTGTTTGTTCTCTGCGATCGCTACAAGCACTCGATTCTTATTAAGGTTTGTAGAGTACCTAAATAAATACTGCATACTCCACCCTCTTTAAACACCTCAGAGAATGTGGTCTAAGCAGTTTGCAAAGCCTGTCCAGAAGTAAAGAGAGTTTCAAATTACAAACCCATGCATGTGTGTGCAAGAACATATACATGGGAAAAGGTGCTTGGCATTCCTCTATTGCCTCCTCCGCCCGAGACCTCCAGGTCCCTCACTGGCAGTGCTGTGACCCTCCGAACGCTGCTGACACGGGGGAATGGAAAGGTTCCTCTGAGCGCTATAGGAAACCCCCAGCTTTGGGTTTGGATGGGGCTTGGGATGTTGGGGCTGCTAAGGAGAGAAGCGGTTAGGGGAGGCTTTGACTTGGTCTGTGTCAAGTGGAGATCAAAGGTTGTTAATGATGGTAATGGCCCTGTATCCCGGGGTGCTGCAGCCCGTCAAGCTCACAGAGTGGCTGCGGAGTGCCCAGAGGGGATGGGATTGCAGACTTCTGAGGTGTGCAGGACATGTAGGAGCTGGCCATGGAAAATTAGCACAGGTCAAGTGATCGTGAGTGGATTGTGTGTAAATTAAATGGGAAGGCAGAATTGGATCTGAAGTTGCTGGGGGGTTCCTCATTTGGAAAGAGCAGCTTCTAAGAGGCAGAGGGGCTAAATTAATGAAGTTAATGAAGCTCGCTGAGCTGGAGAGCTGCAGAACCTGAGCATGATGGAGAATGGAACTATTGTGAGTCAAAGGTATGAAACACCTGGAGCATGCGTTCCTCCTGAAGGTTCCCATCCCCTGCAGAAGGGACTGACGTCTGTCAGACTGAGCCGTGGCTGTCAGAGCGATGCTGGAAATAAACTGTCCATGGAATACATTTGCTCAGGGAAGAAAGGTCTGTCGTGATGCGATCAGGAAGCACAAAGCTCCTTTTATCCAGAGCTTTGATTGTGGAGGGGATGTTATTCGGCAGTGTGTCCTCAGCACTGTGAGAGCAAAGAGGGCTGTGAAGGCAGCAGGCCTGGTGCGCAGGGGGCACAGCGTGCTCCTGGAGCAGCTCTGGTGCACACGTGCTGCAGAGATGTGGCGGTGCAGCAGAAGCAGCAAATGTGTTGCAACATTTCTGGGATTTTTTTATTAGTTTCCAAGAAATGGGCTGGAGGCGACGGTTTTCTCTAGAGCGTGCCTTGTGTGACTCAGCCCTGCTGCAGCCAGCACAGAGCTGTAGGGGTGCGAAGCAGGAGAGCGGGGCCGGGGTGGCACAGGGTGCAGAGCGGGGGCACAGCGCTGTGCTCTGCGTGTGCTCCTGTGTGCTCTGACCGGAGAGCTACGTGCCACTGCCGTGCTCCTGGTATGTCATCCCTGCCCTGGGAGCCGCCAAAATAATAAAAAAAGCCTTTCAGAGAGATTTAAATTATGTCTGAAAGGCCGGGAGGGGGGGGAGCGCGTCGGGTTTTCTTAAACCTACCAACCTCTGAGTGCAATGCATTAAGATGACAAAGGTAAGTCAAGCTGTTGTGATGACAAGAAATTCCTGTCTCAATAACCCGTCTGGTACGTGTTCTGCTCCGGAGCCACGCTGCTACGTGCTGCCCTGCCCAGCACCCAGCACAGATCCCAGCACAGAGCCCTGCCACGCAGCGGCACTGCATGGGCTCCAGGTGAGCATTCGTATTCCTTCCCTACCTGGCGTTTACCTTGAAGAACACGGAGCTGTATCCTTTCTGCACTGTTAGAGTTTTTAACGGGCAGAAAAAATCTGTTTCCTTTATTAGTTTAAATGTGTTGCCATTCACTTTAATTTTCTATTTTCCCTCTGCGATGAGGAAAGGTTGATGGCAGCAGATGACTCCAATCACCTCTGGGACGCTGTGTGGGCCTGCCCTTCCTTCCTCCCTTCTCCATCTCCTCATTAAGGCAAACAGACACATCTTTCGTGCCAGTGTCTATGTGGAGGGTTTTTCTTCTCCATCACTGTTTTCACTTCCTCCTATCCCAAATTCTCTGCAAGTAAATCCTTTTAGAAATATGATAGCCAGAACTCAAAGACACCTCAACTGCTTGTCTGTATCTTTGGGACCAACGCAAGAAAACGCCTGGCATGGCATCTTCAGCATCTTGTAGGTATGGGAGGACTCCAATTCACCAGATAATCAGCTCTGAAAATTCTTCCCTTATAAAAGGCATCAACTTGTGGACTGTGCAAATGCTCAGGAAAAGAGACACTTTTGAAGGGACAATTATCGAAGCAGTGAAGAAGCCTTTATGGTTGCGACTTTCTAGAAACAGCCTGGTTTCCTTGGAGCTGTTTGTGGCTCTGGGCATTGCTCACACTTTGTATTGTTAAACATGTTCTGGCCGCGTGTTGCCCAGGGATCCCTGCGCTCCTGTGGGCGTACAAAAGGAGGTGCAGCCCAGCTTTATCAGTTTGACCCTAAATCTACTTTATCCTGCAGTGCCGCATAGATAAACAGCAACAGAGCAAAATATTTATTTGTTAAGTAGGAGCTAAGGTCAAACTTGCAGTAGTTAGACTGCAAACAAAGCAGCAGCAAAATGAATGTAAGCAAGCGTAGCAGCAAAGGCATTCTTGTTACACAGCTTGTTCAGCAGATTCCTTGAGCTGGATGGGAAGCTGGAGCTGGCCTCAAGGCACAGCACAAGTGAAAGTGCAGCCCCAGTACAAGCACAGGGAACGTTCGAGTGCAATACTGGGACAAAGCACAGCTATCAGAGTGCTGCCCTTAGCTGTGAACTGAAGCTGCGAAGAGTCAGAGCCTTGGCTGAACAAAGAGTGACTGCTTTGTCATCTCTTCGTACTCTCTTGCTCCTTTCTTTCCTTCCACTTGTAGCACAGATCAGGTTTAGATGATGGCAACATTTTGTGCTAGACTTGCCCCAGCCACCCCCTCAACCTCTGTAACTGTCAGTTTCTCCCTTTTTTCTTTCCATCCTGACTTGCATTTCATGCTTCCAAAGCAACACAAAGCATCTTCAGTGACTCACCACTCTCTAACCCTCATCTGGTTTCCTGCCTGTGTTAACAGACGAAGCCTCCTCTCTTCCCCACACCATCATTCAGGTTTCCCACCTTCCCCCTGCAGCACAGCTCCTTGTTCCTACACATAATGGCTGCTCCAGAAGATAATCATTAACTGTTCTAACCAAGCAGCTGCCCTAGGAAGGCTTCCCTCTTTGCTGACACCAGCTCTGTGCACAGACCCCATGCACCAAGCTCATGGCACAGTAACAGGCTGGGTAGTAAGCTCTTGCCCACCTCTCTTTCCAGTTTTACAGTTTTTAGTGGCTATGGGAAAAATCCTATGGATTGTGTCAGCACTGCAGGGTCTTTGCTGGCAGTGTGAGCATTTTCATCTCTGTGTTTGTAACACCAGTTCCCATGCAGGTGACCACAGCACTGCCTCAGGCTTGTGTGCAGCATCACGTGTGCTGGTTCAGAAATCACTCACTTTCTGTGGCTGCTTATTTTCTGCCAGTGTAGGGTCAGAGCTGCTCTAGAGTGTGGCTGGACATGAGTCAAAGCCAGGAGGGGCAAGGGAATGGGAGTAATGCCTTCCTTACTGTGAAAGCTGTGAGGCTGGCCCCCTAGTAAATAGGCTCTTCAGTATGAAACATCCAGTGCAATCGGAATGAGCTCACTTTCCAAAGCACTTAGCAATTTCCTGATAAGTGACCCATGCCTGGCTCTTGGCATCAGCCCGTGTCACACCCGAGTGTCTGCGACGCTGTGATAAAGATAAGGCTGTGCTGCACAATGGCAGCTCAGTCCAAGGCTCAGCTCAACAGTCATCTCAGGGAGACTTCTAAGGGTCTGTTGTCTCCAGTTGGGCCATCGATAACCAGCTGTGCTATACAGCTGGGATTCGGGCTGAGAAACTCCCCATAGAGGCTCTCAGTGGAGAGCCCCAGGTGGGTTGTTTGTAGAGGAGGCTCAAAACTAAGTCATTCTTTGAAATAGCCCCGAAAACTGCATCTCTGGTATTCAGGGATGGGTCGTGCTGAACGTGGGAGCAGTGCTCAGAGGTGTCTGAAGGGTTTGCATCGTACAGAGGGTACAAGAGCTCTTGGAAAGGATCATACGAACAAAAGACAAACAGCAGAACCCAGTGCCCTTTCCCTAAAGCTCAGGCAGACAGCTTTTCCCCCTGTAGCTAGACTTGCGTTCAAGCTTGAAGTGCCCACTACACCACCTCCATGTGTCTGATCACTTGCAGGGCACAGCACAGACCAGGTGAGGCATGGGGTTGAGGGTGAAGCCGACGTCAGCAGTGAGATCCAGCTCTGCTGTGTTCACCCCTGGAGGGGGCTGGAAAACAAATTTGCGGAGCAAGCCTGCGAAGAAGAGGAACAGCTCCATTTTGGCCAGGCCTTCTCCAACACAAGCCCTTCGTCCTGAAAACAAGCAGGAGAGAAGTAAATGTTAAGCAGTGGAACTGTTGGCGATGGCATCCGAGACCTTCTAAACTGGACACGCAGTCTGTGCAGCTGAGGTAGGAAGCTTTTCCTTTCTTTTCTCTGTATTCTGGGGAGGGGGGTACTGCTGACTTAGTGTCAAGTTGCCTGCAAGCCTGCAGGTGTGTGAGATCATGCAGTGCCTGGGGGTAAATAAGCGTCTGCCAGATCTCCCAAGGAGCAGCAGGTTATAGCAGTGGTGGACAGGACCAATGTCCAGAAACCTCTTATCCTGCCTTATCAGTGTCCTTCACTTACATACTTCCCTGGGGTCAGTGGGCACGGTGCTGTTAGCCTAGCCCCGGGATGGGCACAAATTACCCCTCTCACCTATGGAGAATGGAATAAATGCCTCTCTCCTAGCAAAGTTCCCATCAGCATCCAGGAAGTGGGAAGGGTTGAACTGATGCGGGGTTTTCCAGTGCAGCTCGTCATTTAGAGCAGAGGTCAGCAGCGGTATAATCTCTGTACCCTGCAAGGGATCAAAGAAGCAGCTGTTTGGAGCAGAAGGAAGCTGGGATAGCTTTCTTTTTTTTTCCCATGTGAAGAAACAAATGAGACTGAGCCGTGGCAAACAGAACCAGAGGATGCTTCCTGGCCCCACTGTGGCTTTGCCTGTTATCAGTAGTTGCTGCTCTGCTTTTGCACCATGGAAGAATTCTTGCAGATTCAGACAGATCTTTGGAGAAGTCTACTGAAGTATAGATTTCACTTTGGGCATAATAGAATGAAACCAATGTGACTTCATTAAAGTCTGGTTATTCTGGATTCAAGTGGCTGCAACATTCTACAATCACCACATGTTTTTAACAATTGTTCTGCATCCAAGACAAAGAATTACACGGTGGATTAAACCGAGCATCAAGGCGTCTCTAGATATGTAGATATTTCTTATCAGCTTTAGATAACACGGTAATGAATTGGTGCAGTGTAAGCTGCTGGTCCCAGAGCTCACCTTAGGAATCACATAACCTTGGAAATTCACATCTGTAGGTGTTGATCGTGACACCCCCATCGGGACGATGTTGGCAAATCTTTGTACTTCGTGTATCACCGCCTCTGTGTAAGGCATCCTTTTCCGGTCCTCCAGCTTCGGCATCTCCCCCGGCTCAATCACCTGGTTCATTTCTTCCTGAATTTTTCCTTGTGGGGAGGAAAGGATTAAGAAGTTGATACTCCTCTCATCTTACAACTGAAGTAGCCTTCAGTTTGGCCGTGATGAAGAAAAGGGAAAACTTTGGGGGGCGGTTGGGAAGAACAGGAGGGGGGTGGTAAGGCAGGGCATGGTGTGGTTCTTTCAGTTTTACTCTTGAGCCACGGGAGCTTGAATGGAGCACGACAGGACGTCCCATGCCTGGCTCTGACTGCACACCTTTGTTACCCCATGGCCTTCAACGGAAACCAGATCGGGAGCAGCTCCCCAGGAGATGGGAAACCTTTACTGACATATGCTGATAGCCTGCAGGAGAACAATGATGGGAGACCTCATGTCCCTTCAGGCTGCCTCTCGGCCTCTCCCACCAGGCTGGGCTGCTTTATTGCAATCCATCTGAATAAAACCCCTGTGTAAAGTCAGTGGTTGTTATCTCTCTCAGAGAGCTCACAATAATTACCCTAAACAGCGCTGAATGAGTTCCACTCCCTTCCATAATCCGAGCCTTATGCATGCAACAGAATATCATACAAGAGGAATTCTCAGCCTTACTCTGAATTTCTGGGTATTTCATCATCAGAAGGAGACCCCAGCGCACGGTTGTAGAAGTAGTCTCAGTCCCAGCAGCAAAGAGATCCAGGGTTGAAAACAGCAGGCTTTCATTGTGGAACATACTGTGGGGTTTCTTTGACTCCTTCAAAGCAAACAGGCAACAGCTGTAAGTTCTGCAGCAAGTGATATCAGTAGTGACTACATTGCTACCATCTTTGTCTGCATCTTAGGTTTTTGTGATTGACATGCTGTGGGAAACAAAATATTTAGAAGGCAACAGAAGGTTTTAGTATTAGGACTTACACTGTATAGAATTTGTGTATATCCAGCCTCCAAATCCTGATATTGGGTCTGTAAGAACTCAGTTACTGCAGTGAGGTTTGCCACCACATTATTCTTGCAGGGAGGTTGTGGATAGTCTTTTCCCTACATGTGTTGGGTGGCAGCTAATTGCAGCACAACCCCAACCAGAGTTCCAGCAGAGTGATGGAATGATGGGATGATACAGCACTGCTCATCATGAGGATGAGCTTCAACATGTTCTGCTCAGTGCAGTTCTGTTTTTACTCACCCTCCATCCCTGACAGATGATCAGTCCTAATAATGAGCCAGAGCCAAGAGAATCCCAGACTTAGCTTTGAAGTACCTGTTGTTGCTTCATCATGAAGGCATCAACGAAGCCTGTTAAGTTATTCTCATTAAATTCTTCTTTGTGCTCCTTGAAGAGTTTCTGGAGGAAAGCACTCAGCTCCCTGATATTTTGTAGCACGGTCTTGGAAGCTCCAAAGAGAAATCCAAGGGATGGGTAGAAGTTATACAACTGTGGAGCAACAGAAGTCTGTTAGTTGGTGTTTTGAACATATACAGGTATCACAAATGTGAGCTGCCCTGAGCTCAGCATTGCAGTGTGTCATACAGGCATGGTGTTTGCAGCAAGTCTGGTTTTGCCTCCAGCCCTCCATGAGAAGTGGACACTTCTGCAAGGAGACCCCCAAAACAGTTTCAGTTCTGAAGGCACGCTTGAGAGGGCATTTTAGTGCCAGTCTCTGGTGTGAGAGATGCATTGTGCTTCTCCTCTTGAAGGGGAGTGAATTAGTGCCTTTGGTGAAGGCTGTTTTTCTTTCTCTTACTGATAAGCAGCAGAGAAGGAGCCCAGGGGCCAGGGAATCTATGTGCTGTGGATACAGAGCTGCAATGTGTTCAGTACAGGCTGCTGGTGGTGTTCTTGTTCTCCCCTCGAGAAGCAAGGTGTGGGAAGCCACGAGGACAAACACCATCAATCAGACGTGCACCTAAAAGCTAAGACTTAAAATCAAGCCCTTACCAGCACCATCGGAGAGCCCAGCAGCTTGGTATTCTCATTTAACAGCTTCAGCAAAGTGAGAAATGCTGGATCATCATATTCAAACCTCTCTCCAAACAGTATGGAGCAGATGACATTGGATACAGCATTGTTGAGGATCATCTTCGTGTCAAATGGTTTCCCTGTAGTTCAGGCAATGCAAACAAATGATGATGGGATGATGCCCATTTTGCCTTGTGATGCAGGGGTGTGCTGCTGGGGAAGGGAGCAGCTGGCTGGCCTTAGATATTATCAGGGAATGCTGTGCAAAATGCCACATTCAAGGCATGGGAAAAGGACAGAGATTTGGTCAGGTTTTTGTGGAAATGTGGTCCCAAACTCCCTCAGAAAAAAACTCATTTACCACCCAGAATGCACAGTAGGGAATCTGGTTTCAGTGTCTTTAGGCCTCCATTTAATAACCTACCTACGCTCATGCTGAACTTTAACCATCAGATACCATTGGTCAGTGTTAAACTTTTGTGAATCTTTATTGTTCTGCTGGACACGTTTTCTGTCTCTGGATGAAATTCTTGACACTCACCTTGATAAGATTCAAAATATTTAATTAGAGAATTCAGTTCCTCGAGGATTCGGACCTCAATCGTTCTCCTTCCCATTCCGAAATCTCTCAGTGTGGACAAGGTGAATCTTCTCATAGTTTTCCATAACTCTCCGTGGCTGAATGCTATGCCTAAAATGAAAGTGTCAAATCCTTATGCTACCTGTGGTTAGTAAATGTAAGGCCTTGTTACAGAGCTACTCTGCACGATTGCACAGACAAAAGGCAGGCATAAGAAGATGATGTTCTCTGCTGTCTCTTCAGATCAACTACAAAAACCAGTGACAAAAAAGCTGTTTACCATTTCCTCGTGTCATTTTCCTAAATATGGGTATTTCTGCTCTCTCTCCGAATTCTTCAGCATGATTTAAGAGGGCATCCTTGATGGTTTCGTAGCCAGCCAGCACCACAGCTTTCCTGGGTCCAAAATGCACGGTGAAGACATTGCCATATAGCTTGGAGAGCTGTCACAGTGAATAAATACATTCATTCTTAACCAGAGCTGGATCCAAACACTGCCTCCCTCGCTAGCTTCCAGCCCACAGCAACCCTCCCACCCTACTCCAGGTCTCCAGGTGCTGCTGTACTGTAACTGCTGAGCAACGGCTATCACTGCCAGCATCTCTCCTTGCACCCTGTTTGCACAACAAGGTGTCTGCTATCGCTGCTCCTATCAGATGAGCAGTCAATAAAAAAAGCACTGCATTCCTGTGGTGCTCTGCAGCAACAGGCCAGCATAGCAATTCTACTGTGTGGAGGCTGTTTGCAAATGCTGTAGCAGGCGGCTGTTTATTTTAATACCACTGACCTGAGGCAAGCGGGTGTGCGCACCACTTTGGGGCTGAAGCCACAAGCACTACAAAAACAAAGCTAGACAATAACTCTTTCAGGATAGCACTTGTCCCTAATTATTGCAAGGTGGGTAGTGTTGCAGTCATAGCAAAGTTATTTGCTGGCCACCAGAAACTTCAGTCTAACCAGGAAGCATTCTCTTGTAGATAACGTCACAGGAGCACTGGGCTTTTATAGGAAATTAAATGTGAATCATCTGTCACAGAGAAGAGTGGCTTTGACAATCAAATCACTCACTTGGTATTTTAGCTTTAGTTTAAACACTGCGAGCCGTCCACTCCAAATGTCTCCTTGTTTCTGACGTGCCTGAATTACCATTTGCTATGCATTAGATGCATACCGAAAATTGAATTTCAGATTAGAAGCAGCTCCTGTTATTACACCAGACAAATTAAATTTGTTTTCATCAAATGACCATTTGACAGCTTGGGAGATAACATGAGCGTTGGTTCATGCCTCCCTCGCAGCGAGCAGGCATGCAGCAGGTTTGGGGCAGGCCATCACAGCCACCTCCTGACCTGCCTTTGGTTATTTCTTCTCATTAGGACTTCTTGGTGTCAGCCCTGGTTTTACTCAGCAGCACAGGGATTGGATGCAGCACATCTGACAGCCTAAAGCTGGATGGCAGCTTAGGGAAAGTGAATCCGGTGCCTTCAAGAGACGTCTGTATCAGGGGATCCCCCAGGACTGCCAGAAAGAGGTGACTTTTCCTATGGGCATACCTGTGGTACGGCCATGGAAACTGCTCTGCACAAGCCTGAGGGATTCATAAATCAAGGCTGATGGACACTGTGTGAGTGCTGTAGGAAAGCTGCATTTTGAGGCCAAGGAAGTCCTTCTTCCACCACTAACTGCAGAATTTGAGCACCTGCAAAGTCCTCTCATTGTGTCTGCCCAGGTGAGCTTAGCAGGACTGGATCTCCCCATTGTCAGCACACAATTCTGTCTCCATTTCCCTAGCTGCATTCTTTGCTTTGGGAATTGCACACTTTCTCCCTACCTGCTTGCTCCCAGCCTACCTCTGTCAGCGACTGGAATGGCTTTTTCAGGTCCACCACATTCAAGTTTCCAATCAGAGGAAGAGGCTGTGGTCCGGGAGGCAAATTGCAAACTCTCTTCTTCCAGCTGGTGGTGAAGTAAAGGAGAATGGCCAGCCCTGCTGCCAGATAGAGCAGCGAGCTGATGGCCACGCACTGCAGCAAGCTTGTTACGGCCATGGCTGGATCAGAAACCAGAATGTGGGTATGAGCACCCTGGGGCTTCCTTTATAGCCCTTCTGTCATCACCTGAGCACACTTTGTGGGAAAGTGGCTTTGCACAGAAAAAAAGGCTCTCAGGTCTTGTTTACTTCCATTTGGACCACGTGTACATTTTTACCTGCCAAAAAAGCAACCTATTTTATTCGGAAAATTGGATTAACTTAATCTGAAGCTCCTATTTCATCTCCAAGAACAGTGAGCAAGGTGTTTGTTTTCCAGTGTTATGTGCATGTTGTGGTCCATGTGATTTCTGGTGCAGAAGGAAGGGCTGTGCTGGGTTCTCCCATGGCTGTCCTGGTGCAGGGACTTGGCTGGAGCACTGCACAGCCAATGAGAGAAGCAGAATGTACGAGGGAAAGCCCTTGGTAATGGCTAGGGGGCAGCTGGCAGGGAAGTCCCTGGAGAACAGAAAGCGAACCAAGTAGATGGGATAGAGCTGACATGATGTGCTGACTTCAGGCTTGCAGAAAGGTGTTGGTCCCCCTAGTTGGTAAAGCTCTGCTCCTCTGGCACGACAGCAAAATCACTTCCTTGGGCAACCCGGTGTTTTCATGGCAGACGTTGTTACTGACCTGCAAGTTCTCTGCTGACCATCCCAACAGGCCCTGAAATCACTGCAGTCACTATTCTGCAGCCTACTGGTCAGAGGCAGAGTGCTTTGTCTAGTTTGGTGATGTCGTGGTTCCTGCCTTTTCAAGAGCAGGTATGTGCAGTCCTCTGGGAAAGACCATCCCCTCCAGACTTCTGCCTAGGGTGGGAAAGAGACCCTGCATGACTGTAGGTGGATCGGAGCAGGGCTGGGCAGCAGGCTGGGCAGAGGAGAGAGGCTGCCTGGAGCTTCTGCAGAGCGGGAGCCAACCAGGAGGAGCGTGAAGCCCTGAGCACTGAGTCATCCACCATGCCAGAGCATGGTCCTGCAAGAGCCAGCGTGTCTGGGGGGGTGACAGCTCACCAAAGAGCCACCCGCACCCTTTGTGTCCTTGGGGGATGTCGGCGAAGCAGGAAGGATCATGAATGAGAGACCATGGCTGTAATTGGTGGCCCGAGGGCAAGAAGCCAATGTGTAGCTCCATCACATATTCTCAGGTGGGGATATTTTGCTCCCCACTTGCATATTCTGTCTGATTACCAGGCTGTGCTGCTGTTCCACCCTTTAGAAATCTTTAGTTTTAATAATAATACTTTTTGTTAGAATCCTCCAAGGCTCCTGGGCACAGGGTCTACTGATAGAAAAATGATTATTTATTAATAATAATAAAAGTACATTAGCTGGAGGCAAGAGGAATCAATAAACTCTGATTAGATTGACATGAAAAAAGGTGCCTGCATGTCTGCCTGTTCTCCATAGCTGGTTATCTGGGTGGAGGGAAGCTTTTTCACGAGGGGATTTACCCTGCAGGGGCAATGTTGGCAGTGCAAGGGAAGGTAGGAGGACAACAGAGAGTTGTGTCCTCAGGATCTGCTGCACAAGTGAGAAGATCTCGCTCTGTGTCCTCTTCCACTGGAGCAGAGCTGGCTAATGCTATAGAAAGGGGAGCCTTCTCAGGGGCTTTCAAACTGCTTCAAACACAGTTTGTGCCTGGTGATAAGGGAGCGTGACATCTTTTCTCAAGCTGATGGACTTGCAGCCTGCTGGAGCCATGCCTGGAAAGATGAATGTGCTCTCCGCAGGAGATGATCATGGAGTTTTAAAATACCACTAATGCTGTTTCCTCACCTCCATCTCTTCCTCACAAACCTTGGCTTCCACTATGCACTCCTAAGCGCTGCCAACCAATTTGTTGGCTTACAGGGCTGGGGAGTAAATTCTGTTCTCTTCCCACAGGTGTCTTTGTCTTTCTATCAGCACAAGCCAGAACCAGTACCACCTTCAGGTAAGCAGGATTTGTGGGCATAGCTCAGGGAAGTAATCAGTTCCTCCTAGGAAAGGACCCTGTACGTTAAACAGCCTCACTCATCTGACTTGTGTGTGTTCATCTGGAATCAATCTGGATACAATCTTCTAATGAGACATGGGGTAATAATGCTATGGTAACAGTTGGATAATGCAGAGAAAGAGCTATTATAAAGCCATAACTCAGTCAGTGAGTTCAGATAACATAATAAACCACAAGACTGAACACCAAGGGCTTGTATGCCTTGCAAGTCTCTGCAACACATTTACAACCACATGAGATGCCTATCAGCCATGCATTGTTATCAGGGATATATAAACCCTTTTAAACATTAACATTTTTATGGACTGAGATGTGTTAAAACTCAGGTAGCTCCTTGCCAAGGGATTTTGCTCACCTTGACAAATGCCAACGCAAAAAGAAATCAAAAGCCTCAGACTTTGACCTCCTTTCTTTTTTTTTTTTCAATAATTATTGCAGTGTTTTATTGGATTCCACCTGCTTCTCCCCATCCTGCAAAACAGTATTTCTGTGGGATCACTGCAGGATACCGCTCAGTGTTTGCTACGGGCATTTTGGTACAGATAACTTGTACTGGATTTCTATTCATTTGCCTGTCAAATCAGTCGGTTACACACCTACTTTGGAAAGGAAAACCCCTGAAAATACACTTTTAAAAATCATTTTATTACAAATTTCCAAAGACTGAAGGATTGTGATGAATTATATGTGATGGGTCTGGCCACTGGAGGAAAGCATTTAAAACCAACCTCTGCTTGGGCTTAACGCACTGTCTCTGTGCAGAGCCTAAGGTGACGCTGTCCCCCACACTTTATGTCCTTGTCTCTTTTAGTAACAAACTGTTCTCTGAAACGTTGCTCCTTTTAAAAGCACTACCCTCAAACTGATGTTCCTCCAGGAGCTTCACTCTGTCACAAACTTGGTGCTGGTGATGTGCTTTACAATAAGCACCCCTACAAAAGTACCTGCAGTCGGAGCCCTTGTGTCCACAGTCAACAAGCCGAGGCAGCCTGACCTAAGAAGTTAATGCTGAGGAGTCCAGGTTGTGACAAATTTATTTTCTAAACAGGACTGGAGAATTCCAGCACCTCACTTAGCACCAAGGCTCTTTTTGTCCCAGGTCTGCAGCTTCAATCTTCTCAACACAGCACAGCAGTAGTAGTATTAATCCAGGAGCAGTTTGGGACATAGTGGGTAGGGGATTAGTGGGGAGGCATCTAGAGCCAGTGTTCCAGCATCTCAGTTTTGGGGCTCCTGTCTTGGAGCAGACAGAGATGTGGGTTTAGATACACCAGAATTGAAACCAGCAACATAATAAGTTTGCTTTGGCTTTCACCACCACACTTCTATTTCTGCTGTGTTCCCTTCTACCCTGGTGAGGCTTTGACTCAGTCATTACAGAAAATGATCTATCATTCTGTACACCTTTGCAGAGTGCATAGCATATTAAGGCCCTGACCTTACTGGCATGAAACTATGATTTCCCCCCAAGTGCAAAACAATAACGTTTCATTAATCATCCACAACAGAAATCCCCGTTCCCCAGACTACTGGCAATAATCTACATTTTTACTTGTCTAGGAACTTGAATTAAAGGGGAGAAAAATGGTTTACAACAGCCCGTGGCAGTGATGTAGCAAGAGCCTTTATGTAAGAGCTGGCGGAGAGCTGACGGTGTGAGGGTGAGGCGAGCAGCGAGCTGCTGGAAGGATGTTTCTCTGAGGTGTGTTCTGTGCCGGAGCTGGGAACAGCAGTCTCAAGGGCACAAATTCCAGCACCTGAATGTGCTTGGTCTTGTTCAACTGATTCATTTCTTACAGCTATACCAAGCTGAGCTGCAAAATCGCCTCCTGCTTTACTCAAAGGCTTTCGCAGCTTGTCGATAAATTATTTTCCAATTAACTACGTGCTAGCTTGGAGCTGGAGGCTCTCAGAAGATGCAGCAAGGGGAGGGAGAGAAAAGAGTCACAGTCTTTGCAATGCTCCCATCAAAGAAAAGAGGTTCTGGTTCCTGCTCTGACATGGTCCGTCTTGGTGGTGCTTCCCAGAGCAGTGTGGGGTGAGTAAAACCCGTCTGCAGGTGCATCTGTGCAGCTGACAGATAAGCACCGACAGTGCTGAAGGTTTTCCCTGTGATTTGACAACGTTGTAAAAGAGCAAACTTTTGCTTTAGTACATAATTAATGACTAACAGCTCTGATTCAAGCTGTTAAATCAAGTTAAACTTGAAAGTTCAAGATTTTCCCCACTTCAGGGAATCACCCTTTCTGAGCCTCCTAACCCGTGGAAAGGGCTCCAGGGTAGAATCACTGCAACTCCCTGGATCTCTACAAATAACCCGATCTCCCCTGTACAAGTGGCAGCTTTTTCCCAGATCCCCCTACACCATGAAAGTCTCCCACTTCTTTTAAAGATTACATGTGAAAAGCATTTGATTCTTTGTTAGGTGACACTGCTTTGCGGCTCTGTTTTTACTGAATTCTTTTCGTTGGCTTAATCTGCAAATTAGATTTTTTTTCTCTTAACAAGTATTATCTAATGGAGGTTTTATTTGATCTCCTTGGGAAAAGCACATACTAAACTGCTAAAGCACTTGTATGAGATTCTAAGACAAACCTTACCTTTAAAGGAAACTCTAGAAGATACGACTGGCATTTGCAGTACAGCATTAAGTAAGCATAACCACACACCTGCTGTGTACCTGGCCTGAATTCAGGTAACTACAAAAACTAAGATTCCACAGGAAGACACTGAGTTAATTGACAGGCAATTAAAGCATTTGAATACAATACAGCCAGGTGATGGATCCTTTGCACAGGATTGTCTGTGTTTGGGAATAATCCCAATCTCTGCACATCTTTTCCTTTGATTTTTCCTTTCACCACACAGGGAATTGGGGTGAACCATTGCGTGGGAGCAGAGGAGCACAGCTGAAATCAGGAGCCTCAGCCTGAGCTGCTCCTCTGCTGCTCAGCTCCCCGAGTTAGTTGTGTGAGATGATGAAAACGGAGTCTCCTTTTTGCTGTTAACTGTCATAATGAAGTCAAGTGGAAAAGTGCTACTTACCCCATAAAAAAAAAAAACATCTATTGTCCGTAGCCCTGAAAACACGATAATAAATAAAACCTCATCTTTCAGGCTGCGTAAACCAGTCGCTTATGTAATAGAACATGGTGTAATTTTCCACTTACAATCTCAAATACTGTAATAAGAAAGCAATCAAAGCACAAACAAGAAAGCCCTTTAAGTGGTGCTGCAGGTAATATTTCCGTAATGGCCGTCCCAGCAATTGCAACTGTTTTCTTTTTTTTTCCTCCCACTTCACATCATTTCTACTTATCTCAATCATTTAATTAAAAGAAAATCAACTTAAAACTGGTGAAAGACCGCCTTAACCCGATTGCAGCAGCGGGCAAAGGAAAAAAAGAAGGCAGCAGCAGCACAACCCATGGGCAACACTGGGGTGCAATAAACCAACACCATCCCTCATCCTCCTGTCGGGATGAGACGTGAGGTTCTGTGCGGGGCCTGCTGTGCTGTGCACACATGGGCAACACAGTGTTTTCCTTGGCCTCGTGAGAGCCCCCCTGGTGTTGGGTGAGCATCCCTGGTCCTTTACTAACAAACACTCTGTATTTGCAGACAGATGCTGGGTGCCACCAGGCGCCCTCAGCCAGGCCTGGCTCAGAACAGCAGCACAGAGCTGCTTTCCCTGCAAACACATCTGGCACCGATCTCGTAGTTTTGCTCTTTTCCCCTCTGTTTACAAACAAACGAATGCATTTTAAGAGCAGAAACCATCTTTCCCACTGCTGATGTAAGGCAGCTTGCGGTGACCAGCACCCCTGGCCCTCACGTAGCCGAATTAGGAAATAACAACGCGATTTTGAGAACAACGTGCTTTATTTCCCTGAGGGGGCTTCGGCCCGACCTTCCCGCCTGGGCGGGGCCACCATGGCGGGGTGTCCGTGGCGGGGTGTTCATGGCGGGGTGTCCATGGCGGAGTGTGCGTGCGGCCTGCGGCAGTGACGTCACGCTCGCCCCCGCCATGTTGCCGTGGCGACGCTCTGCACCCCGCGCGGATGCGTCCCGGGTTACCATAGCGACGCTGAAGCCGTTTCCATAGCGACGCGGCCCCACCTCCTCAATGAGGCGACGATCACGTGTCCCGCTCTACGCGCACGGCACTCTCGCGAGAGCGGCGGGGCCCAGCGCTGCAGCCATGTCTACCGCTATGAACTTCAGCGCCAAGAGCTTCAAACCGCGGCCGCCGGACAAGGGCGCCTTCCCGCTGGATCACTTCGGTGCGGTAACGCGGCTCGCCGCCGGGCCCCGCTCCCCCTCGGCGCCGCGCGGGCCCCAGCCCGAGCCCGGCGGTAGCGCGACCCCCGCCGTGTGTTGCAGGAGAGTGCAGCGCCTTCAAGGAGCGCTTCATGCAGTGCCTCCGCGACAGCGGCTTCGAGAGCGGCGCGTGCCGGGAGCGCGCCATGGCCTACCTGCAGTGCCGCATGGACAGGCAGGTGGCGGCCGGGGGTGCGTGGGGCTGCGGGCACGCGCAGCGCGTGCTCTGACGCGGTTGTGCCTTCCGTGTGCAGCAGCGCGCGGCCCGAGGGGCTGTATGAGGAGGGCGGGAGGAAGACTGTGGGGAGGAAGGCTGTCTCGATGCTGCTGACCCCACTGACGTTTCTGAGGCTTTGCCAGCCGCTCTGCGTGCCTCGGGTTTCTCTACAGCAAATAGGAGGAAGTGAGGCAGGAAACGCTGCTGTTCTGTCTGTTACGCGGTGTGTTCTGCAAAATTGTTGTTCCTGTTGTTTCCAACGTAGGCAGCTCATGGCTAACGAACCGCTGGAAAAGCTGGGATTTAAAGATCTGCTGGATGAGAAGTCGGAAGCAGAAGCTGGGAAAGAGTGACGAAGAAAGAGCTTTACCTCTCACTGCTTTACCTCACGTATGGGAGGAGTAACTCCTGTGTAGTACGTATTGGGCCTGTATTGCAATAGGAAGTGCTTTGGGGAGGATGCTTTTCTTCCCAAATATTCTTTTTTAAAATCAGATTGTTAAGGTGAGCCAAAGTACTGCCTTTGTTTACTTTCCTCCTCCAGCCTGCTCCTAAAGGTCACTGTAGCACTTCACCTGGCAGCAAACAGCGGTTGCCTGGAGTGTTCTCTGTTTCTGCAGGGGCAGTAAACTCTTGCTTTAAAAAAACAACAGCACAACAACCCTCCACCTCAACTATAGGTTATTGCTATGTGGGCATTACTAATCTGCCTGCAGCAGGCACCTTTCGGGTGGAAATAAAGCTGTTGTGGTACTTGCAAATATCTATTTAATTTCCTTTTTTTTGGGTGATCTCCTTCTTACCAGGATGCATTTCCAGCATCACCAGTAGGTTTTTATTTACCATGCCAACGTTTGACCTTTATTTCATCATTTAACCAGTAGTCGTTCGTTACAGTTGTCTTCATTTCTCCACTTAGTGCTGCCATGTTATTTTTCACATCCTTATGGTGAAATCAGAGGGAAGATGGCAATGGTATTTATTTGTCTTTGAAGTAAATGTGAATTATTTATATAAACATGTCTGGACTTTTCTTTTGAAAGCCTGTTGTTTGGGATGCACACACTTAGCTGGTTCTCCTACACTTCCTTCTTTATTTAGTGTCCTCTGTTTGGTACATCCAGCCATTCCTGTTTCTGTTTTCAGAGAGATCCAGGAAAGAGTAAAATAACACTCTCTGCTCTTCACGTTAGTGGGGGGAAATGAGATTTAAATTGTGGTCCTGGTCTGATCTGAGCAGAACGCAGATAGTTCAGAGCAGATTTCTGTTTGAAAAGGGCATTCTGTTTGCTTTCTGCTGTGTCTTTTTAGTCTGCTTCATTCCACTGCTTAAATTCTGTCTTTTGATGAGATTATAAAAAAGAAAGCAGAGATTCTATTGCTGAAACAGACGTTAAAAGACTTCATATTAAGCCGATGAACAAAAGCCTTCTTTTAGTGATGCTGAATAAAAAATTAAAGTAATTGCCAACATCTTCAGATGAAAGAAATCAAATTTCATGCTTCCCTGCTCCGTGATTATTGTGAAGTGACACACCTAGGAGGGATTCAGAAAAGCACCAGTAGTGGGGAATAATCGGAGGTTGTTACTTCTTTCTTAGGCTACTCTGCATGGGAATCTGAGCGAACAGTTGCTTTGTGTTTTTCTTGAGACAGTTGATACTGTAACTGTAGAGTAGAAGGGGTGATGGTCCAGAAGTCTCCAGTGAATGAATGTAGCCAGCAGAGCTGGAGTGACAGACAGTGCACTTAAAGTGCAGCTGAGGGAGGAGCCGCTGGGATTCTTAGAATGGCAGAGGCCCTGACTCTGGACCTGGTGCAGGAGGGACTGTGGGAGCAGAAGTAATTTCTAAGAACTGCACACTGTGCCAAAGGAAACAGTGCTGTGTGCTACTTGTCTGCCTGCAGTTCTACCGTGGCACCTTGATGATGTGGCCAGCAGGACCCTGTGTGCTACGGGCTGACTGTGCTGCTCATCTGCCAAATGGGCACAGTGCGTTTCATCCTTCACACAGCAACTGCAGAAGTGGAATTGCCATCCCAGCAGGGATGGGAACTCTGCACCTCTCACCAGCCTGTAGAAGATAACATCACCTGGATCCATAGTGCATCTCATCCTGCCTCCCAGCGCGGTGACTCAGCTTCACAGCGCAGTTCCTTTCTTGCCAGGACAAGACCAAGGGCTGTGAGTGGATAGATGAAAACTTGGGAAATTGACAGGAGCATCTATTTCCTGGCTGTGAGGCATTAGCTGGAGAAGATAATATGTTCTGTGGAATTGTGAGGTGAGTTCAAAGTTGGTGAGGGCTATCAATTTTTTCAGTTGAGATCTAATGTAACTGAGAAGTGGTGGAAAAATCATTAATCAGTGCTGAGCCCGGGGTCAAACAATCCTGACTTGCTCTGGTGACAAGTCATTGCAGCACCAGAGCCATGAGGGGGACGTTCTTGGAATTCAATTCATTCCTGCCAGCACACAGACCATTAATTAAAACCTTTCTCTAAAACTTGTTTATTTTAGCTTTGCTTGTGGGATCAAGTTTTGTGCTTCTTTACAATGACAGCAGTACATTAAGCCAAACAGAAGTCATAAGTTTGTAGCTAATCTTCCTCCTCAGTACAGGAAAGCTCTCCAGAAGCTGACACCGGGTTGGGTAAGTTTATTCTGGAAGTGCTGAGCTGAGGCTCAGTGTGTGTGATACAAGAGGGGCAGTTTTGTCAGGGATGCTGATTTCTTTATGTAGTTGTTCAGAGTTGATGAGCTGCTCTGCTGTGTGTGGCTCCAGGAACGAGGTGAGTTCCGCACAAGTGCTTTAATCTTCATGTGAGAAGCTGGTGAGTGTGCCTGTTTGCACTGGTGCTGCCTTTCAAAGGCTGCCATGAAGCACCACCTGCTGACAGTCCTTGGGACTTGGAGAAATGCAAACGGTTGCAAAATGATGTTCAGCATGGATTAATGTTGAAAATGCCTGTTGAGATGTGATGGTACAGGTGTGGAAGGCATAGCCTAAAGCAGGAGGAAGTGCTGACTGTGTTGGAATGAAGATCTGTGTAAGCTGTTAAATAATAATAGAAAACAGTAAGTAAGGGGGCTGTGATAGTCTTTCCTAGAGGTTTTTTTTTCCAGCCAAACCTCTTATAAAATAACTGTAGGTGCTCTGCTGTGTGGGATCCTGTCCTGGGGAGTCCCCAGAGGGTTCCTGGTCTGCAGTGCTGTGTGTGCTGGCACTTAGGAAAGCCTTGCACACACACAACCCCCTTTCTTTGTTCGGTTAGAATCAGTTCAGCCACAGAGTTTAACCTTGGTCACTGCAGTTATTTACAGAAAGAGAGCACTGCTGCAAGCCAACCCTCTTTATGTCTTCCTGGAAGACTTTGAGCTCTAGGTGTATCTCCAAACAATAGCAATGAGCCGCAGAACAAGGAAGAAAGAGTTTAATAAGCAATTTCAAGGCTCTTAGAGTTCTTTTGACTTTTTTTTTTTTTTTTTAAAAAAAAAAGGCACAAAAGCCTGTGCAAAGAGAGCCTCCTATGGTTGTACTGGAAGGTGGGCCGTGGTCCCAAGTCTTGTACATAAGCAGAGTGAGCCTGTGCCTCTGTGGTAAGGAAGGGTTGTTCCCCTTGGAGGAGGGGTAGCAGGTGTAGCAGAGGGGCTGTGCAGTCAGTGCAGTTATGGACAGGCTGTGGGTGCAGCCAGCTGACCTTGCAGTTCTTGAATCCTCTCCCAAATTCTTCCTGGTTTGTTCTACCTGCTCAAACTGATTCAGATTAAGCAAACAAAACACTTGAGGAAGGTACCTGCAAGGGTTACTTTCCCTTTCCTGGGTGTTTCAATGGGAAAAGATTAATCAGACATCCAGTTTCCAGTTCTTTTTTTCTTTTAATGACTGCTTCTCTGAATAGCTGGTAATGCTGCATTTCCGTCAGGATGCAGCAGTTTTCTCGCTAGCAGATTTCAAGACAAAATGCTTTCCTTCTGGTGCCATATGGCTTGAAATGCAAAAGTGATCACTGCTAGAAATAAGATCTTCATAGAAAGTCACCTAGAAGTTAATGTGTGTGTGCAGAGGGCTTGAGAAACCTTGGTGCATCTTTTTTATTTCTTGGGACTGACAGTGACACAGGGAGAGGTTTTTTGACTTCTCATAGGGACTGATGCTCATGTTCTCTCCCTAGCATTGCACACATTGTTTCACCACTGGATTGTTTATTCCCTGTGTTCCAAGAGATCTTGGGACTTGCATCAGCAGGTACATCAATTTTGTATTTGCTGATTCCTGCTGGGCTTGGTTGCGGACAAGTGTGGCATTCATCACATAGCCCAGCAAAAGCCAGTTAGCTCTGCAATTGTAGGGCTGAATCCAGTCTGTGCTGTTCCAGCTCTGGTGGGATTGTATCTGAATGAACAATCTTTCCCAGCTTCCACACAGAGTAAGGCAGGTTCCACCGATGTGGAGGAGCACTGTGGTCCGTGTGCTGCATCCTGCTGGCTGATAATGAGCAGTGCCTTACACCACCCTGTGCTGCAGGTGCTCTTCTATTCAGGTCTGTTATGAATATTCTGTTCATAATATGAATTATGACAAACTGAAAGCAGCAGTAAAGTAGCCTCGCAAAAAGAAAGTGGGGTAGTGAAGTATCCAGAATGATTCAGGCTTCTAACTTGATGATTTTAAGAAGTAAGCAGTGGTGGCTGCTTTTGCAACCAGTCCCTTTGGGCAACTGAGCTCTTTGACTATTTTAGTAACTTTCTAGGAGCTGACAGCTCCAATTTCTGCAGGATTTCTGGTGTCCTCAGTGCCAAGAAGCCCTGCTTCAGCAAGAAATTTTTAACGCGCCTGGTTTTAATCTCGCTTGTGAAGCTGCTAATGGAGGAGGGCATATGGGAAGGCAGTCGCATGGAGGAAGTGCTCTGGAAAGCAGTCAGGCCCACTTTGGGGTTGTTCAATTTGCACTTCTCCGTTACCAAACTGTTCTGAGTTTCAGCAAGCTTAGGAGGCGCTGCATCTCTCCTCAGGACAAGGCAGGAGATCACAGCACTGCAGAATCTGGGATGCTGGCACAGCCCTGAAGATGTGATGTGATGCTGTGGGCTGCAGGATGCTTCAGACCTTGCAAGTGCTCAGCCAAATTGAATGTCAAATCCTGACTTTGCTGAGAGGACCAGGATTTATGGAGACCTCACTAGCATCAATGCCCCTGCATGGATCATCTGCTCTCGTACAGCCTGTACTCAAATTCTTTTGCTTCTCTAGCAGAGGTGGTAGAACTGCTGGTTTGTGGGTGAGATCCTGCTCTCAAAAATCTGTTGAAGAGCCAGGATTTAATTCCCAGAAAGCAGTTCTGGCAGTAAGTGCATCTGACTTCCTCGTATGGGGATATGGTCAGTGGGGCCATCTGTGTGCAGGACAAAGACAACCACAGTCAGGTACCACACTGTTTTGTGATGCAGGGTGAGCAATTTCTGGTCAAAGAATCAAATGCTGAGCTCACAGACTGCTGAAAAAGAACCAGGTGGGTGAAAAATGAGAGAATTCAGAACATCTCATTGCACCCTTTCAAGGCTCACACCAGGAGACCTGCAGGTGTGGTAGTGCCAGCTAGAAGGGCTCATTGAAGCAGAGAGATGTCTGGATTGATAGCTTTATTTTGGCTTATTTTAGCAAATAGTAAGGGGGAGGAGGGATGTTTATCACTGAAACTGATGCTGCCTAGTACTTTAGACACAGCTCTAATAGGTTGGACTGGCTGAGACTAAATC